AAAAAAAAAAAAAATAAAATGAAAAAAAAAAAAAAAAAAAAAAAAAAAAAAAAAAAAAAAAAAAAAAAAAAACAAATAATAAAAAAAAAAAAAATAAAAAAAAAAAAAAAAAAAAAAAAAAAAAAAAAAAAAAAAAAAAAAAAAAAAAAAAAAAAAAAAAAAAAAAAAAAAAAAAAAAAAAAAAAAAAAAAAAAAAAAAAAAAAAAAAAATAATACATGAAAATAAATAACCACAAAAAATAAACCTAGAGCCTAAACACCCGCGCAAATAATAAAAATAAAAAAATAATAAATAAAGAAAAAATAAAAAAAAAAAATTAAAAAAAAAAAAAATAATAAAAAAAGCGCCAATCTCCCCATAATCTTAATAATAGCAACAACAATAAAAATAATATCATCTTTATCCTATCTATCACCTGACCTCGGAGACGACGCGGGGGCTCCTACGAATTTAGATTTTTAGATATAAGATATAGGTTTACGATTTTGGGCATGAATCAAAGATATTGAAATTTCGCCGAAAATCATGATCATAATAATCTATAATATTATTCGAATAGATTCTTATTTTGATATAAATCCGAGAAGATGGTCATATTCATTCCATATGATTTTCATAACGATATAATCAATTATATACCTGCTATTATTATTATTACTGATATAATTAATATTGATTCTGATATTTATATATACGCACGATATCCGATATATCAATAAAATCATTTCTATAATTTATCTTATTCGAATTTTCTTTCGTATCGACGTGACTGATATTTCGTTCATATGCGAAGAATAAGAGGGATAAATAATCATTTATATTGATTTTCGCAGCTGCTCCTATATTTATTCCAAATATCTTCCATATAATCGACGATTCGTATATGAATGAAAAAAAGGAGAAGAGATATTTCGTGCATATATGCAGAGCGTGAATAAATGAAAAGCGAAAGAGAGAATTTATCCATTAAATTAAATTATAAGATATATTTATTAAAAAAGATTTTCGTATAATATAGTCTAAATAAAGAAAAAAAGAATAATTATTTAATATCAAGAAAAAAGAACAAGAATTTCTAATAATAAAGATTCGTACGAATTTAGAATAAAATATATATTCCTTTTATATTCAAATAAATATGAAAAAATAATGAATTTTATGATATACGAATATTAGTACTATTATATTAAAAAATATAGATTATATATGATTTCTATTTCGATTCTTAATATTATAATTCGCAAGTACTAATTAATAATCGTACATTGATTAAAAATCCAAGAATCAAATTGAATAAATAATTATTTATTATGTAAATATTAACCAACCCGTATTCAGATTGGAGGCTGCAGCATTAAAGGCGGTAAAATCTTGCTCTGTGCGAAAGAAATGTAATATCCAAACAATATGGCTTTATTGAAGTCACAGGATTCACCTTAAAGTGGATGCGACTATCTAGGGTGAAACACATGCATACATCCTGATTTCTGCGAGACCAACGTGAATCCTGAACCACTTAATCCTAAGAAGCCTTCAACTCCTGAAACCTGTTTAAGGTTCTCATTGCTTCAACCTCGCCAAAACAAAAACCTACATAACCTTTCTAGAGCACTTATAGCACGCTTTAAGGAAGCCTTGAAAGGAAGCTAAACCCTGTTTCGGAAGCCTCTAAAGGAACCCCGGGGGTTTAGGTTTAGGTTTTAGGGTGTAAGGGCCCTGCTAAGGACCCATATCCGGGCCGCCGAAGCTCACTGGGGCGACTCTTTGGTGACGCCTCTGACAGCAAGGGGAGAGTTTCTCGAAGTTAAGGATGCATCTAAGGGTTCTGCATTACAAGGCCTCGCAAGATTTGCGCCAAGCAAGCAAGAATCTCGTTTCATCGAGGACCGAGATCATCTAAATCTTTCGAAGAACCACTGTGACCAAGAGAGCCCATTCCGTCTTGTCTGCACTTCGATCGGAGTGGTTGTTGCGCGGAGCACATATGGCTAATGTTGGGGGCCTCAGTGTTCTTGTCAACAGGGCCTGGTGATATATTACAGTTCAAATGCAAGGACTGGATGAGTGGAACAAGACTTCTCCTAGCTCGCGATCGATCCTGGTCCGAGTCGGTGCTTAGTGTCTTGGGTTTGGAGTTCATAGACTTTTTTCGTAAGACCCGCACAGCCCAGTTTGCTCGGGCTCGGAAGTCACCTTGCTTCTTCTTCTGAAGGTGGCTCGAAGATGTAAAGCCGGCAGTAGGTTGCCTCCTCCGGCAAAGAATGCCAAGTGATGTGTAGGAGCTCGGCCGGCCCGGAAAAGAATTTGAGCCTCCAGCTTCAGCTGTGATGTGCCTTGCCCTACATCCTCCCACCCGAAAGCCTAAACCCTAAAACCCTAAACCCTAAACCGTGGCTCGAAACCTAAACCTTGCTACGAACCCTGAACCCCAAACCCTAAACCCTAAACGCTGAAACCTGCTCGCTGAACGCTGGGATCTAGGCTTAGGCTTGGGTATTGACTTTGGAGGCCAGTGTTTAGAGTCGGAGCTTCATGCTTCGGATAGAGGTCAAAGCCTCAATCCCGTTTGCAAACTTCAGCTCCGCAGACGACTATATATTCAAGACATTTTGGGGGGTTTTAGGGTCTGTTACAGGGCTCTGCAGAGTCTGCAAGGTTCAGCACCTTCAGTATAACGGTCTTGGTAGAGGGCTTCTATAAGCCTTTATACATACTTGCTGATTTATTGGGGTTTTAGGGTTGTTGGGTTTCCAAGTTTTAGTGATGTAGAGTTCAGGGGTTTTACTGCTTGCCGGAATAAAGTACAGGTTCTACCAAGGGTTTGCGGTGAAATTCAACATATTGTACTTTCTAGGTTGTTTACAATCTGATTCGGGCTACCAGGGCTTTATAGGGGCGGGTTCTTACAACTATGTTTCAACTGTAAACTTCCTTTCTGGGTTCAATCGTACTGTTTGGATGTATGGAACATATCAAAGGTTTTGTGAAAATACATTTCCGGGGTACTAGTATCCGTACTATTATTGTTATTACTATTTTTACTATTATTACTATTAGTATTGTTATTACTAAAATTATTATTATTTTGTTTGTTTATTTTTCTTTTTGGGCGGGGGGGGTCCCTGTAGAATTGAGTCCGAGCCGAGAGAGAAAGCCAGTGAAGCCCTGCCTTTGGATCCAAAACCCTGCTGCTTTAAGGGTTTACTTAAAGGTTCATGGGACTTAGTACAACTAGGGCTATAAGGGACTCCTTAAAGGGATCCTTAAAGGGGATCTATAGGGTTCCTTAGAAGGATCTATAGGGTTCAGGGTTTAGGGTCTACTTAGAGGTTCATGGGACTTAGTAACTAGGGTTATAATTAGGGTAACTACACTTTTATGTACTTATAATCCCCATTAAGGCACTTATAACTGCACTTACTTTGTCCCATGAACCTCCAAGTGGGGCTCCTTTAAAGGGATCTATAAGGGGGGTCCTTTGAGGGTTCCTAGAGGGGATCTACCATAGGGTTTTGCGATTTTAGAGTTTAGGCTTCGGGATCCAAAAACCTGCTGTTGTCGGGGCTAGACCCTCTTATTAGGCTAGGATACCCAGTAACCTAAGAATAAAAAGGCCTCTCTTTCTGGTATTGGGTAACTTTATAAGGAACCTAGGACTACAAAAAAGGAATAAGGGTACTACTGGGCATCCTAGTAGGGGATCATAACCTACCAATTTTGTAGGGTTTGGCACAGCTAGAGAGAAGGCCCCGAATGGCAGAATCTTGGGCTTAGTGTTTCTGGACTTTGAAGTAACCAACGGGTCCCTAAACCCTAAAGGGTTTAGGGTTTAGGGTTTAGAGGTTTAGGGTTTAGGGGTTTAGGGGTTTAGGGTTTAGGGGTTTAGGGTTTAGGGGTTTAGGGGTTTAGGGTTTAGGGTAAACCCTAGGTACCAAAGAAAGTATTCAAGTATGGTACTCCAGGACCCAGGTAGAAACCCCTGCACCCCTAAACCCCTACCTACCTGCACCCGTCACCCCCTAACTTCTAAACCCTAAAGTAGGGCTTATTCAAAGAAGGCCCGGTTATCTCCAAAACAGTAGAGTTTAGGGGTTTAGGCTTTAGAGTTATTTTGGGTTTAGTGCTATAATAGCTGTACTTACTTACTAAGTCCCGTGAACCTCGAAGTAGAGAATCCCAAACAAAAATACAAGGCCTAAACCCAAAAGAGACTCGGGCCTAAACTACAAGAGCAACAAGAGAACCGCAAACAAAAATATTACTACTACTGCTGATGGTCTAAATCCTGCCTTACCTTAATAGGACACTAAACTATGGGAATTATGGTATGTTCCTTATTATGGGTAGTGCAGGATTTATATCCCTAAACCCTAAAGCCTAGAACCCTATAGATCGCTTAAAGGAGCCCCTTAAAGGTACCCTTATGAACCCCAGGATTTATATCATCAACCAAACCCTAAACCCTAAACCCTAAACTCCTAAACCCTAAACCCCCATATCATCAACCACACCTCCGAGCCCTGGCAGCCTGTGCTCTCAGCCGGCCCAGGGCATGCAACCCCTGGGAGTCCAACCCCAAATTAGGGGGTTAGGGTTTAGAAGGGTCGCCAATCCCTATAAACACTGTGGTTTTTTTATGGATTTTAGGGTTTAGGGGTTAGGGTTTGAGGGGTTAAGGTTTAGGGTTTTAGGGCTCCTTAACGGGTCCTACAAGGGTTCCGCAGGTTCCGGAGGGTTTCGGATGTATGGTTGAGGGGTTTCGAGGTTCAGGTTGAGGATTGTATCATAGTGCTGGGATGTCTGCACTCCCTACCCAGAGGCCCCACAGTGTTTCCTTTTCGGGATTGCCTTACAGGAATCTATATATGAACACCAAAAAGGAACTACTTTGGGGCCTCTGGGTAGAGACTACAAGTCTTGCAACACGCATTGAAGATGTACTGTTCCCAGATAGAGTACAGGGAAGACCTGGACTTCCTGAAATCAAAGGGGAAAAGGAGGGACCCTTAATGGGGACCCCTACCCTATAATGGGTATATAATAGCTATATTAAGAGTATATGCCTAGGGGTCCTTGTTAAGGGTCCCTCCTTGTAACCTTGGAGAAAAGGGATCGTAAAGGGATCGTAGACGGGTTCCGTTAAAGAGTTGCTATAAGGCTTTGGGGTTTTAGGGTTCAGGGTTCATGCTTAAAAGCCCGAACTGTCCTGTCGCCATGTCCTACAATATGATAGGTTATGACTCGTTACGACCCTTTCATGGCGCACACCCCAAACCCTAAACCCCACTCAGATTTGAGAGCACGAGGTTTGGGGAGATGTAGTCGTCTACTCACAAGAGCAGCAGCGAACGGGCGCCCAGCAACAAATCTAAAACCTGGATTCTATACCTCAGGGCTCCATCTTACAATTCTACCATCATAAAACTACACCAGCGCCCTATGGTACTTGTTAGGGCACCTGTTTCCATCAAGGAGGTTCTCGTAGGTTTAGTGTCGAGGGAACCACATTCGGCGGTCCTTGCTCTTCTGGCTGCTGGTTTTTGCCCTTGTTCTTGTTCTTGGTCTTGCTCTTGGCCATCCATGCCTGATACTTCCCCTCTCGTGCAGTCATCTGCCCAACCTCGGTCGAGACATAGGGCATTGACATTTCAACGGGGGTATGAGGATTAAGACACTTGACTCAGTAAGAGAACGTCATGAGAATTCGTTGTAGCGGACGTAGCAGCCGCGCGACAGCATCCTCATGATGTAGCGTGCCCGCTCGCTGTCGGGTGGAGGGTGGACGCAGACGAGGTACCAGGTAGCGGTCATCTTCCATTAGCTTGTACAGCTCATCGCGAGCGCCACGCAATCGTAACCACAACAAGGGCTATGCCATCACATACGGGTATCGTAACAGTGCTAATTATTATCCAAGACCCCTGGGAGCATCCAGAACATCGACCTTTTAGGCGGGTTCCTATACGGTACCCTTACAATTAGTATTATGGGGTCCCAAGTCAGGGAAACTCTTGTTAGGTGGTGGGTATATAGTTTAGGGAGGTCTAGAAATGCAGTGTTCATTAACAACCTAGAACTTACCCTCTTATGCAACCACGAAACTTGAGTCCTGAACCCTAAACCCTAGCCCTGGACGAACCCTCAAACTCTAAATCTGGGACTGTCATCCTAAGCTCCAGACCCTGAACCCCAAAGCTTTTAAAAACAAGCTAACCAACTCCAAGCTCTCAACCACAAGTGCCAGACCCCTATCCCCAAGTTCTAAACCCTAATAAAGGGGTTTTAGTAATTAGCATAGGGTTTGGGGGCCCATTGTAGTGCAACTAGAACAAGGAATGCCCCAAATAGTCTTGGTGATTATTGAGGCCACTATACTAAACCCCATAATACCCCTTATGGTAACCCTACTAATCTATGTTCGATGCCTGAAACCCTAGACGACAAACCGCTGACATGGGAGTTTCCGAAAATTAGGGGTACCTTATTTGGGGCCTTATAACAAGGATCCTACTATTGAGGGTACTATATCAGGGTCCCCTATTACGGAAACCCCCACACATAGTAGGGTTTTAGGTCCCACAATCCATACTCTGAGTGGTTTTTGGTCGTTAAAACCCTACTATTTGGGTACTTGGACCCTTAGGGTAAACGACAAACCGCTGACATCGAGAACTCGAACTCAGGGTTTCCATGCCTCTGATGCGTAAGCGGGAAGGTGCCGGCCCAGCCATTCCTCCAGAATGGCTGCGGGGAAACCGCTAAGGGTTTAGGGTCTAGGGGCCCTAAACCCTAAACCCTGCTTAGGGGGTTTAGGGGACTAGAGTTTTAGGGTTTAGGGTTTAGGGTATATTCGCAGAACCCAGAGACTCCAATATATCCCGTAATTTATTTAAGGAATATCCCCTAAACTATAATAGAGTCCTTAATATGATTTAAGGAATATTCCTTAAACGAGGGATATTGGAGTCTCTGGGAATGGCTTCGGGAAAACGTTAGGGGGTGGGAGGCTTGCTCAATTAGAAGAAGCTTCTACTACGACAGGGTTCCTTTACGTAAAGGTGCCACTGCATATTGTAGGGTTTTCGGAAAACGGGCCTTACTAATTAGAAGAGGATATTTGCGGAAAGTTGTACAACCACTTTAATAAGGAACCCAGAAAAGGAGGAGTTTCAGGGAACGTCACAAAAACAGACTATACTGAGGAACCCGATGGAATAGCGTGACTATTCATTCGGTTTCTGTGCTAAGTCTTTCTGGCTTTGGGGTTCGTCTCAGGGCATTAAGCTTTCTATACGGCCTTTCGGGTTTATAGAATATACCATAACATACAAAAAACATTATATAGTAGAATATAACATAATGCAATACATTGAATGATATAACATATGTTAGTATAACTATATGAAATCATATAATATTTTATAATATGTAAGTAAAGCCTACAAGAAAACAACACAGTTGAAGATATCATAACAACAATGCTGAAGGTTAGGGGTTAGGCAGGTTAGGCTTCCAGATATCAGGCTTGGGCTTCAAGTTGATGTTTGTTCGGCTAGGGCTCTACAGGTGAAGGACGGTTAAGGGCTCCAGATGTGTCGTCTCAGGGTTGAGGTTTCGGGTTTAGGGGAATGTCGCGAACGCGATACCAAAATACAATTTAGTGGAGCTCTTTGAATGACAATCTGTTCAGGCGCCAACTCTCGTCCGCGTACGTTAGGGCCCGAAACCCTAAACCCTCGAACCCAAAATCCCTATACAAACGCCGAAGCTCTTGTGGAATCCTTCGAGAAACCCGAATGGAACGCTTCAAGGAACCCTTCGAGGAACTCTACTTAGAGGTTCATGGGACTTAGTAACTAGGGTTATAGTTAAGGTAACTACGCTTATATGTACTGATAATCCCAATCAGGACTAAGTCCCATGAACCTCCAAGTAGGCCCTAATCCCCTAAACCTGTAAAGGACCCGAAAACCGTAAGCACCCCACGATCGGCCCCGCCTTGCGAGTTCTCCTCCCCGCATTCGGCCATCCCACACTTCGTCCCCATAGGCCCGGGCCTCTTACAGCGAACCCCAGAAAGTTGGAACAGGGATTTAGGATGATTTGTGCTAGGATTCCCTCTACTTTACCATAAGGGCATGGGGATAATGGTGTGCCAGCTTCCTGGCTTCTACTGTACATCCAATTTGTTGGAAGGGGTGATGGGATGTGGTAGGGCTCCTTTAAAAGATTCCGTGAAAGGGTTGCTTTAAAGAGGTCAAGGGTTTATAGGGGTTTCGGGTTTGGAGTTAGGGCGTGCGGTTTATTGGGCAGTTATAAGTGCAGGTACAAGTCCCCTACAGTACTATGGGTGATAGCTTAGGTACTGCCCCCATACAGTAAGAGTCTATAATAGGGCTACTATTAAGGTCCTAAAATATCCTTACTATGAATATTATCCAACTGTTACTGAGTGGGGGCAGTATCCAAACTTAGTTGCACAATCAACAGATCAAGTAAGCAACTGTTTGAGTAGTGATTTGGTTGGTTAGCCAAGCGATCAATAAACAATAGCAGCTATGCTTCGTACTGCTAGAGAACTATTTCCTCAGCAGTAGCAGCAGCGGAAGAAGCAGGCGCAGCAAGCTCATGGTCACTATGTTGTTGTCGCTGCTGTTGTTATTGTTGTTGATTGCTTTTGTGGATTTCGTCTAAACCAGCCTATTCCAATGACATACAGCTTCAAAAGCAAACAAGAACGGAAGGCACAACCCTCAACCCTAAACCCCTAAAGCCCAACACAGCATGAACACCTAGACTCCTAAACCCTATAATACCCATGGTACCCTATAATACCCTACATAATACCTTATTATTATTATACCCTAAATTACCCTATAGTATGCAAAATACCCCTGGAGCCCTCTAAACCCCCTGGGACCCGAAAACAATCCTAGCTCATGACCCCACAATACTGTCGACCAGGTGCTCGCTCCTATGCGGGCATTCCCAGAGACTCCAATATCCCTCAATTAAGGGGTAGACCTTAAATTATAGTAGGATCCCTAATATGATTTAAGGAATATTCCTTAATTGAGGGATATTAGGGTCCCCTAAACCCTAAACCCTATAGATCCCTTACAGGAACCCCTAGGGATCCCTTTAAGGAATATTCCTTAATTAAGGGGTATTGGAGTCTCTGGGTTATCAACTGAGGGGCTGAGGATGTCCCCCCAAAAAGGCTAACCTTTCGATCGGTTTAGGGGCTTCGGGGGTTTAGGGTTTAGGGTTTCCGATCCTGATAAGTTTATATAAACCCCAGAAGGTTAAAGGTGACCTACTACTCAGCTACGAGAAATAAAGACTTGGCTTTTGAGGTGATTGCGGAACCCTAAACCCTATCAGACAAAGAACTCCGGAACAGTATTGCTACGGTTGATGATATAAATCCTACCGTAGTCTTTTAGGCCCCGCTATATTACTGGCCTTCGGGCTTGGATTGGAGGACTCGGGGCTTTTAGGGCTTGGGGATCAGGACGGTTTCGGGTTTCGGGTTTTGGGTTTAGGGGTTTAGGACCGGGTTCAGGGTTTAGGATGGTTTCGGGTTTAGGGTTTCGGGTCACCCTGAACCCTAAAGGGTCACCCTGAACCCTAAACCCTCTGAGATCTGCCGAACCACTTTCAAGTGAGAGAATTTCTCTGGCTACGCAGTTCCTCGTGGTATAAATCGAGAAAAGCCAATGCACCTCAAATCCCGAACCCCGTAAGTCTAGTGTAAAGCCCGAGAGCCCTGCAAAACCGCAACACCTTGGCACGATAAACCACATGCAATGAGGAATTCCACTGGAAGATCGTCCACCTCGCCGTAGAACGGCTTCTCTGCTTCGTCCAGTGGACCTAGAAGCAGCACGGAATATTTCGGGCTTGAGATCTTTCTGGTTCAGGGGATTGTGGATGGTTTAGGGATTGAGTTTGGGGTGGGTTAGGGTTTAGGGTTGCAAATTCCTGTGAAGATTTGCTGCGTGGCTGCTGAAGCTGTGGTGAGAGTGCCAACATCACGTGGACAAGCCCAGACTAACGACCAAACCAAATCTGCTACACCTTCTTCAGCTGATCCTGCGCATCAGTGCTGTCACCACCATAATCAGCATCTCCCCAGGTCACGACCGATCCATCATCAAGAACAGCAGCAAAAGCAGCTCTCGTAGCTTTGACTTGCTGCACATTCTTCAGCTGATCCTGCACAGCAGTGCTGTCACCACCATAGCCAGCAGGACCCCAAGTAACGACCGATCCATTGCCAAGAATGGCAGCAAAGGCGAAGTCAGTGGCTTCGAGCTGCTGCACATTCTTCAGCTGATCCTTCACAGAACGGTTGCCAGCACCAAAACTGTCTTCGCCCCATGTTACGACAGATCCGTCAAAAAGAATGGCAGCAAAAGCAGTTCTAGAGGCTGTTATCTGCTGCACACTCTTCAGTTGATCCTGGACAGCGCGACTGTCGCCACCCTGTCTCGCACCGCCCCAGGTCACGACAGATCCATCACAAAGAATGGCAGCAAAAGAAGCATCAGAGGCTTGGATCTGCTGCACATTCTTTAGCTGATCTTGCACAGTACTGCTGTCACCGCCATAAGCAGGATCGCCCCAGGTCCCGACAGATCCATCGCCAAGAATGGCAGCAAAAGCATTGCAAGTATAAGTGGCTTGGATCTGTTTCACATTCCTCAGCTGATCCTGCAAAGCAATACCGTCGCCACCATAAGCTTGAACACCCCAGATCACGACCGATCCGTCGCCAAGAATGGCAGCAAATGCAGTCTTGGTGGCTTGGATCTGCTTCACACTCTTCAGCTGATCCTGCACAGCACCGCTGTCACCGCCAAACTCAACTTCACCCCAGGTCAGGACACACCCATCGCCAAGGAGAGCAGCAAAAGCACCCACAGTGCCATGGACCTGCTGAACGTTCGTCAGCTTATCCTGTGCAGCTCGACTGTCACCACCAAAGTCGGCATCACCCCAGGTCACGACGGATCCATCACCAAGAATGGCAGCGAATGCACGGTCGGTGGCCTGGATCGTCTGCACATTCCTCAGCTGATCTTGCACAGCACTAGAGTCACCGCCATAATCAGGGACACCCCAGGTCACGACAGATCCATCGCCAAGAATAGCGGCAAAAGCGCCCAGAGATGATTTAACTTGGACCAGGTTTATATGCAGAAACACAGAGTCACCATCTCGCAGCTTGGTGTGCTTGATGACTGCAGATGCATCCAGAAATCTGCCAGAAGCCACCAGCCGGCCTTTTCCGACTCCAAGCGCGGTCTGCGCGCGAACTCCCAAGCTTGCCACCTGCTCATCCAAGCTGGCTTTCACCGTAGCTGTCTTGCCACTCAGCAATCGGACTTCCACAGAAATCGACATCTTGAGACCAACGAATGGAACACTGGGAGCTTACAGAACAAGATCTTCTAACCTTAAACTACCAAACCCTGCCTTTTTGTAGGTTTTTAGAAACCCGAATATGGAATTTATAGGGACCCTACAAAAAATAGGTTTTGGTAGGTTAAGGAAGATGTTAGGATCCGGGCTTTGGTTTAGCGGCTTCGGGTTGAGGGTTTAGGATTTGGAACAAACAGCAACACTTCTGTGGATACGCAGTTCAACAGAGGACTGGTACGCTGCAGTATTGGATGCAAGTAAATCGCAACAGGGGCACCAACAACAAAAAAGAACAGCAAAGCACCCTAAACCCTAAACCCCGAAACCCTCTAAACCCCTAAACCGGAAACCCTGAACCTTATAGATCCCTTCAGAGGAACCCTTATAGATCCCTTTTCAGGAACCCACAAACCCTTATAGATCCCATAAAAAGAACCCTACGGGAGCCGAGCTGTCAGAGCCCTTCGCCTGGATCCCACGGGTTCAAGTGCTTGGAGCTCGCAACGGCTCGGATGATCTAGCTAAACCCTACTAACCTACCGTTTAGTAGCGTTCTTATTCTGCCTAACCTACCGTTTAGTAGGGTTCCTTATTATGCTTTCCTTAGAAAGTTCATTAAACAGGTAGGTTTTCGGTGGTGAAGGTAAACGCTAAACCCCTGAACCCCTAAGCTCTCAACTCCTTAGTTCTGAACCCCTGTGAGAGTCTCCGAATATTAGGGGTGCCTAATTTTGGGGTCCTTATAAAAAAGATCCTGCTATTTAGGGTGCTATATTACGGTAGGGTACTATATTAGGGTCCCCTGTTTTCGGAAACTCCCTATGTAATCTGAAGCAATGTGGCGACTGCCGTCCACTCAGAGTCAATCTCCTGCACAGATGCGTCAATACACCCCCAAGAAGAACTAATATAGGGATCTGACATTCATCGTCATAGTATTCCCTTGTCGGCTCTATACATGCACCCTGCGGTACCAGGTGAGCGCACAAATGGGAGTTTCCGAAAATAGGGGACCCTAATATAGTACCCTAAATAGGAGGATCCTTATCATAAGGACCCCAAAACGAGGTGCCCCTAATTTTTGGAAACTCCCAAATAACACCCATAGCAACACCCTCGACCGGCACCCTACATCCTCAACGCCAAAAGCTTAACCTGGGGATCCAAAACCTACTTTTTTAAGGGTTAGAAGTCTAATTAATTGGTCATAGCCTACTATTTTGTAGGGTTTGGTGCCACAGGAAGCAACTAAAACGCCCCAAATCTGTAAACCATGGCATGGTAAAGCACATAAAACCCACGACTACGTCTTTCCAATTACAAAAGCCCGTGGACACCACCCATAGCCCTGGAAGCAGCGCCTCAGAACCTCAAACCCCTAAAGGGAGCCCTGTTATAGAACCCTATAGTACCCCTAAAGGAGCCCCCTATAACCCTAGTTACGAAGTCCCATGAAACCCGAAACCCTAAACCCCGACTAGGTGCTCCAGTTGCCACTTAATAATGAAAGTGCCCTTCTATCCTAAACCCTAAACCCTGTAGATCCCTTGTAGGAACCCTTTAAAGGAACCCTATATTAGGCCCCTATACGGTTGATGATAGAAATCCTGCATTACCCATAAGAAGGAATATGCCATAATTCTCGAAGTTTAGGGTCCTTAAAGTAATGCAGGATTTATAGCATGACCGTAAACCCTAAAACCCTACAGATCCCTTAAAGGAACCCCTTATATAAAGGTACGCTTATATATCCCTTTAAAGGAACCCTAGGATTTATATCATCAGCCGCATCAGCTGAAGAAGCCGGGGGAGCCCGACCCTCTTGCTGGAGCTCCGTTTGGGCCTCCTCGGTGGAGACACCTGCGAAGAGCGGGTTTAGGGTTTAGGGTTTAGGGGTTTAGGGGTTTAGGGTTTAGGGTTTAGGGGTTTAGGGTTTAGGGTTTAGGGAGCGCTGCAGAGTTTAGCTAACCCAAAGGCTCCGGGATCCTTAAAGGGATCTACAAGGGTTCTATAAGGAATTAAGGAGTATACCGTAAATTATAACAGGATCCATAATATGATCTCAGGCAGATTCCCCCAAAGGCTCCATATACCTTTATAGTAGATACTTAAGCCTTAAAGGGGTTCCCATATAGGTACTTTAAGGCTTAAGTATATATACTATATAGGTGGTTTAGAAACCTTGGGCCTGTATTAAGGTTCCTTTTATGAAACCTGATATATTGGGGGGTTATAGGGCCAGGGTTTCCCAATCAGGTTCCTACATTAACCAGCGGTGTTCGGGTCCCCTTGGCTCTTCGACTCCTTCTTTCAATAGGGATCTCCTTGGCTCCTTTTATACTGTCCTTAAGGGAGGGGGTTCTAAGGGGGGAGGGTATTGGGGATTTTTAGGGGACCTTAGGGAGCACTAGGGAGAATAAGGGATTCTTGGGTTATATACCCCCCTTGATACCCCCTCCCTTAAGGATCCCATAATCCTTCAATGTCAAGGGTTAGTTAGTTAGGGTTGAGCTTCGGGCATATAGAAATTGCACCATGAACCTTGAACCCCTAAACGCTACACCCCCAAACCCTCAGAACGACTTGCTCTTTAACTTCGGCAGATCATGCGCTGACCCCGCCCAGAAACAGGATGTCAGGTCGCCAGCAGCAGAGCCAAGCAGCTAAACGAATTCTTGGACAGAAGCAAAAAATCATTGGTGATTGCGGGGATGACTGGGAGAGGGGGGCCCAACCCATAGCATTGCCCTACCCACCTGCCTACATGTCTACCTACCTACCTGGGCTTTATGGCAGGTTTTGTTTTCCGATGAGGATTCCGGCTAAAGGTGCCAGGACCAGGACCCTAAACCCTAAACCCTAAACGAGTTATAGTTGCGTTGGATCCGAGGCCTTGCAGAATGTGGGTGCCGATTTCGCGAGCGACTTGGGGTTTCTTCCAAAAGCTAAAACCGTCATAGCACCCTAAAAGCTAAGCTGATTGTAGCCAGCATAGTACCCCCATCAGATTCATAATTTAGTTTTTGCCTTTACAAACCCTTTCAATGCTGCTAACACCCTAGAAAGCCACAAAACCTGAACACACACACACACACACACACTTGCAGAATCCTATAAAACCAAAGAAAGCTGTGTCAAACCCCAATGAGGCCGAAAAGTTGTTTAGTCCCGTCACCTTGCCGTAAACCCTAAACACTTAATCCTTGTTAAGTTCGTGTAAGATCTGCGGAACCCAGGAATTCTCAAATCATTTACGAAACCCTGTTGAGGCCCTCAACCCTAAATCCCTAAACCCTTGACCCTTAGACCAACCCATGTTTGAAGTTCTGGCCTAAGTCGGTTCCCAGCTCTGATCGAACGTCCGCGGCACTGAGGGACTTCTTGAGTACTGCACAAGGCGCAAGACTTGACGCAGGCTGTTTGTTTGTTGTGCTGTCTGGTTGTTGCTATGTTTTCGGTGAGGGGAGGGGGTGGAGGTGTTGAGGGTTCTTTTCGGATGGGGTGGGGGGGGGGGGCGGTTGGAGCTAATGGCTTGGATGAACGGTTTAGAGTTGAATTGGGGTCTGAGGGTTCGGGTTCAGGGTTAAAGCGTCTGGCTCGCAAGGTACCATGAGCAGATGGCTTATCGATGTTAACTGGTTCTCACAGAAGTTAGGTGGGCGGATTGGATGCTTTCAGTAAGCTAAGGGTTTGCTGCGGGTTCGTGGTACTTAGTGAGGATATAAATAGGTGGTTGTCAAAAATAGTGTCCCTTTTGGGGTACCCGAAATAATAGGTGCCGTACTATACTAGGGACCCAAACAGGGACCATAATTTCGACAACCACCCAAATATGTCATTATGAGTTTGGCCACCTTCTAGACCTAAATGTAACCTAGGATACACTAGGCTCAAAGAATGAAGCTTAGCAGCTGTGTGCAAAATAGGGGGTACCGTATTTTGGGGGTTCTTATAATAAGGATCCTACTACATATGGTACTATATTAGAGTCCCCTATTTCGGAAATTCCCCTTTGGGTAGTTGTCAAAATAATGGTCTCTTGTTGGGTACCCTAAATATTCGGTGCCGTATTAAATTAAGGGCCCAAAAAGGGATCCTAATTCTGACAACCACCCATATATAGAGTTTCCCAAAAAGGGACCATAATTTCGACAACCACCCAAATATGCCATTATGAGTTTGGTCACCTTCTAGACCTAAATGTAACCTAGGATACACTAGGCTCAAAGAATGAAGCTTAGCAGCTGTGTGCAAAATAGGGGGTCCGCATTTTGGGGGTTCTTATAATAAGGATCCTACTACATATGGTACTATATTAGAGGAACTTCCCCTTTGGGTAGTTGTCAAAATTATGGTCTCTTGTTGGGTACCCCAAATATTAGGTGCCGTATTAAATTAAGGGCCCAAAAAGGGATCCTAATTCTGACAACCACCCATATAGAGTTTTGAGAAATTGCTTGACCAAGGCTCGTTTCGGGCCAAAGTCCGGGATTTTTCCACCTTTAGTATAGGGGCCTTAATAATTAGAATAGGGTTCCTTTAAAGAGATCTATAGGGGTTCCTTTAAAGGGCTCGTTAAAAGGGCATCTACAAGAGATCTATAGTAGGGTTCTATGATACAGGGACCTTGATAATTAGAATAGGGTTTTGGGGCTCATTATACTATAAATATAATTAGTAAGGAACTAGTATAGCTAATTATTAAGGCCCCTATCCTGAACCTGCATAGTACCCCATATAGTAATCCTTATAGAGCCCTTTAAAAGAAACCCTTAACGAAACCGCAGTCTAAGTATGTAGGGCCCTATATTAACCGAAGAAGCCAAGAGCCCTACCTATATTAATTGGCTGGTTCAGGGTTCAGTTCTGGACGATCTGCGTGGTTTAGGGTTTAGGGTCCTGTTGGAATATTTGGGTAATCGCTTCTGATGGCAAAACCCTAAACCCTAAACCGTCCCACACACGGTCTGGGTTTAGGGCTTAGTTTTCGGGTTCTGGGACTGATGTAAACCTATGATTGCTACACCCTCCTTCTTCCGGAACACTGATAGATGGATCCCTAAACCCTAAACCCCTAAATCCCTAAACCCCCAAACGGCTAAATCCCTAAACCCCCAAACGGCTGAACCCTAAACCCCCAAACGCCTAAACCCTAAACCCTACACCCCTGAACCCCAAAACCCCAAACCCCAAACGCCTTAACAGGGGATGCTAGCGAGCATTGATGATTAGAACAAGGGGTAAATCGTGTACTCTACACTAGCGACTACAAGGGGAACCTAAGTCTTCAGGCCTCTGCTTAAACATAGGAGCCTCAATGGGTTTAGGGTTTATAGGCTTATAGGGTTTAAGGTTTAGGCTTTAGGGGTTTAGGGTCTAGGGATTAAATACCTATACTATTTTGAGGGCTCTGTCTTGAAAATTATAGTATAACGGGCCCCAAAATCCCTATTCTAATTATTAAGGCCCCTGTCGTATACCCCTTCACCTTTCACTCGCACCCCAGACCAACCCAGGCCCAAGTCCAAAACGCCATATCTCAAAGGGGAAAAGGAGGGACTGTTAATGGGGACCCCTACCCTATAATGGGCTATATAATGGGTATATAATAGTCATTTTAAGGGTATATACCTAGGGGTCCTTATTAAGGGTCCCTCCTTTTACCCTTGGAATGTCCTGCGCCCTCAGCTTCTACCCAGAGACTCCAATACCCCTTAATTAAGCAATATTCCTTAAAGCATATATGAGGGATCCTACTATAATTTCAGGAATACTCCTTAATTGAGGGGTATTGGAGTCTCTGGGTAAGCCCCTGAAAAAGGAATGCACGCTGACCCCCCTTAAGCAACAACACTACACCCAAAAGCCCAAACCCTAAAGCCCTAAGCCCTAAAACAATATCGAAAACTGTGGAACCTCTATAGATGCCCTTTAAGGAACCCTAACTGCTATTGGGGCCCTGTCGAAACCCCTTGTAGAACCCTCTGTAGAACCATAAACCCCAGAACCCTAGAGCCCATGTAGAACTCGTTTACAGGTAGGACCCTTGCAGAACCCTTGTAGCATGGCCTGAGAGCTCCATGGGCGGGCGCCCCTGGACGCACCAGCCCCAGCCACCCTCCAACAGGTTTAGGATTCAGACTTCTCCGAAGGGGTTTAGGGATCAGGCGTTTAGTTTACGGGTTTTTAAACCGTAAACCCTTTTTGGGTCCATAATATAATACGGCACCGAATATTTAGGGTACCCAGAAAGGGACCATCATTTTGACAACCACCCATGTAGGTCTTGTGGTTGCGGGGTTTAGGCCCTAAGCCCTAAACCCTAAACCCATTAGGAGTTTTGGGATTCGGGTTTATGGGTATCGGGGCCGCGAGGACGACAATCCGAAGAACCGGAACTCTGCATTTCCCTGAGACTCCAATATCCCGTAGGTAGGGTTTAGGGTTTAGGGTCTACCCCCTAAGGGTTCCTCAAAGGGCTACTTAAAGGGATCTATAAGGGCTCTATAAGGGACTTGAAGAATATTCCTTAAACCATGTTCGGGATCCTACTACAGTTGAAAGTCTATTCCTTTATTCGGATGCCCAGCGACCTAGGAATAAAAAGGGCTCCCTTTTTGGTCTTGGGTAACTTTATAAGGAACCTAGGACTACAAAAAGGGAATCAGGGTACTACTGGGCATCCTACCTTATTAAGGAGTCTGTGGGTTATGGATCTCAGGGCTTAGGGGGTTGAGGGCCCAGGGGGGCCCTTCAGGGTTTGGGGAGTTTAGGGTTGGTTCTTTTTGGTGTTTCGGGTTTCAAAGGAAATCGACAACCTAACCCCTTGAGTTTAAGAGTATCATCGGGTTTGCGGTGGTTTTGTGCTGCAAGCCCTGAACCCTAAAAGAACCGTGCAAAATCCTAAACACGTGCAGCACCCCTTCTGAAATCTCATAAGACACTTAGAAAGCCCACCAGAAGGAGCCCTTGAAGTCGTGTACCCAGCCAGCCTGTGGTTTTGCGTTTGGGGTGTTTGGGGTTTAGGGTTTAAGGCACCTTAAACTGTGAAAACACCCACCGAATAGCAGGATACTCATCCTAACTACCCGTAGTTATTGCCCTAATTCCTGCGATACAACTTCAAAACCTTCACACGAAACTGTACAATCCTGCCGAAATCTAGACCAAAACCCTCGACTCCCTAAGCCATACCCCAATAAATAACCGCCAAACACGCGAAGCCGTCAGAAAAGAAGACTCGACTGGTCAAAGCTTTAGCCGGCACCCGATCTCAAAGTAAACCCTAAACCCCTACCCTCAGGTCCGAAGCCAAAACCTTGTGTACCCAGACACTTGCAAACCCAAATTTTAAGCACAGACCTTAAATGAGCACCATTGTGCACGCTTGGAAATGTTCTGTAACTTGAAATCGTGCGTAACGGTGGAACCCACGCAACCAGGAACGGCCGCTCCTTGAAAAACAGGTTCTCCCGCAAGTAAGTGGAATGCAAATCGCCGCCAAGCTCTGCTTCCATGAGGAGCATCAGGCACTTTTCGGCTTGACACTGAAAGTTGCCCTGGATGCATGTTTTGCATCGCTCATAGTTAAAGCCTGGATCCAAGGATGACATGGCTTGCACAATATTACGCAGCGCCCGGACCTTCGACTGAAGCACTGCGATCTCTTGCCGCAGTGCGCGGGTTTTCTGATGCAAATAGCAAGCATGCAGCAGGTTCAACCAGCGCAGGCTTGGGCTCTATCTCTCTCTCTCTCTCTCTTTGTCTCTCCTGGGAAGCTGTGACACCGGAACGGAGTCTCGACGGAAAAGGACAGCTTAACCCCAACCGACATCGAACCCACGAGGGGGTACCTGTATCCCCAGACCCTACAAAACAGTAGCTTCTGACCCCTTTATTAGAGGGTCTATAACCCTTGAAACGGTAGGTTTTTGGATCACAGGTAAGCACTAAACCCTAAAACCCAAAGCCCTACAGATCCCTTATAGGAACCCTTCAGGGCACCCACCCTTATCTAGGATACCCAATGACCTAGGAATAAAAAGGGCTCTCTTTTTGGTATTGGGTAACTTTATAAGGAACCTAGGACTACAAGAAGGGAATAAGGGTACTACTGGGCATCCTAGTATAGATTCCTTTAATCTCAGGCGGTTTCGTAGTCTCTGAGTATCACAAAAAACCATGCCAATCCTTAAGCCCTTGATCCCAACTATAGGGCCTTAATCATTAGAATAGGCTTCCTTTCAAAGGGGTCTTTAGGGGTTACTATACGAGGTAGTATGTGGGTTTAGTCTAGGGGCCTTAACAATCAGAACAGGGTGTTTGGGACCCATTATACTAGAAGGAAGCCTCAAAATAGCAGTATTGGTAATTCATTACTTAGGCCCATAAAATACACTTATAAAGCCGGACAGAACCCTTACTAAAACGCTGACCCACCCCACCCGCCCCGGCACCCCCTCGCGCTTAGCGACCTTCTCCTCCCTCGGGAACGAGGACAACCCAAGCTGATTCAATCCTGCTCTGGCTTCCTGCGAGCGCGGGTTTAGGGTTTTGGGGTTCTGAAGCTTTAGGCTTTAGCAGTTAGCAGCTCTCATCTGTTGTAATGGTGTTCTTGTCTTCGTGAGTTTTTTCATACTAGGGGTTCTGCGGATTTGCGTAGTGCTTATAAGGACTTTAAAACAGCTTCTGTGCCAAAAAGTGCAAGGTTCAGGTGGTGAGGGGCTTCGAGGATGACGGGTTGAGCGCTTAAGGTATGCCAGCAGTCTTAAATGAGGAGTACAGTGCTGTGGGGCCGCAGCACGAGGAGTACGAGTGAGAGCGGGAGTACGCGTAGGAGTAGTAGTAGTAGTAGGAGGAGGAGGCGGAGGAGGAGGAGGAGGAGGAGCAGGAGGAGGAGGAGGAGGGGAGTAGGAGTAGTAGTAGTAGTAGTAGTAGTGGTAGCAGTAGCAGTAGCAGTAGTAGTAGTAGTAGTAGTAGTAGTAGTAGTAGTAGTAGTAGTAGTAGCAGTAGCAGTAGCAGTAGCAGTAGCAGTAGTAGCAGTAGTAGCAGTAGTAGCAGTAGTAGCAGTACTAGCAGTAGTAGCAGTAGTAGTAGGGCTAGAAGTAGTAGTAGTAGTAGTAGTAGTAGTAGTAGTAGTAGTAGTAGTAGTAGTAGTAGTAGTAGTAGCAGCAGTAGTAGTAGTAGTAGCAGCAGCAGCAGCTGTAGTAGTAGTAGTAGTAGTAGTAGTAGTAGTAGTAGTAGTAGTAGTAGTAGTAGTAGTAGTAGTAGTAGTAGTAGTAGTAGTAGTAGTAGTAGTAGTAGTAGTAGTAGTAGTAGTAGTAGTAGTAGTAGTAGTAGTAGTTCGGCAGCCAGTCAACCAGCGGGCGGGCAGCCAGGCTTCGGAACACCCAAGATGAGCAACTTCTCAAGTTTTCCTTGAAAATATGCGTTGGTGATGTCTGCGGCTCTGAGCCTCAGACCTAGCGATACTGCCCAGGAGCAAACAAGGGCTATTCCCTCCGGTTCGGCTGTCGGGCTATCGGCACGGATGTCTTCTTCATGTCCTATGTGCTCGAAATTCCCGCAGGCTACTAGCTTGGCTTTCCACTTTGGCACATATTCGGGAGTCCGCGTAGGTGCTCGTTTTTGTCCGTCAACACCAACTTTGTGTCCTGCTTTCATGCCAGTCTTGCAACCAGTCAGCGCTAGAGCTTGGAGGCAAGAAAGCGGAAGCGGAACTTCATTTGCCTAAACCCTAAACCCCTAAACCCTGAACCTCTAAACCCCTGAACCGTCCCTCAGCCCTAAACCCTAAATCTCATTTCAGCTCATGCTGCGACCGGTCCGAACCACGTGAGCCATTGTTGGTACAAGCCGCTGTGATCGATGTTCATAGGACCGCACATAGGCTTAAGGTTTAGGGTTAAGCTTTGCGCGGTTTAGGGGTTCAGGGTTTAGGGGTTTAGATTAGGGTCTAAGTGTTTAGATTAGGGTTTCGGGGTTAAGGGTTCAGAGTTCAGGGTTGTAAGTATCACACTTACCAAACACAGCACCCTGAAGAATGCTGTCAGTTCAGCCTGAGCCCTCGGAAAAATCCAACCCTAAACCCTACTTGTCGGGTATCATGGGGAACTAAAGGTTAACCTTTTTGGTTATATAGGGACTATACTACCCCGAAAAGGTTAAAGGTTGCCTACTCTACTGCTAGGAAACCCTAAACCGATGGAAAGCTCCAACTTGACAATACTCCCGCGAAGCTTTCCCTACACCCTAAATCCCTAAACCCTATACCTCCCTTCAAAGGAACCCTTATAGATCCCTTTAGAGGGAACCCTAAACCCCTAAACCCCAAACCCTAAGTTCTGCCACAGATCAGCTATGTAATCAACCCACACTGGCATGGATCCGAAAAGGTACCGTTTTGAGGGTAAGGCCCCATAACTCAGGGGTCATACCTCATTACCTACTATGTTCAAGGGTTTGGGGCTAATTTCGAGAACTTCTCTCAACAGTTTGCAAAACCCATGAAATCACATCGGTTTTCTCCAGCAAAGCGGCCTAAACGCCTGCACCCCAAACCCTAAACCCGAAGCCCAAAGACCAGAAAACCCCAGAAACCCTAAGCCCTGAATACCGCGAACCCTAACGGTTTAGGGTTTGGGGCTACACCTGAGAAATCTGAGGATACAAGGGGGTAAACCCCGAACCTTGCAAATCCTATAGGACACCCGACAAAATGCATACTAGACCCTAGTAAAACCACACAAAAAACCGATGAAACCTTAGTAAAACCGTGTAAGCCGTTGTGAATGGGATCTCTCCGTAGCCTTCTGCCGCGTCTCGTAGGCGCTCATGGGTGGGTCCTTGGTTCGCGCTAAGGAACTTCGGATCTAAGGTAGAGTAGAGAAACCCGCAGACCTACAGTAAGCCGCTTGAAGTTGGGCAAAGATGATCTGTGCCGGTCCTGTGTGAGGGCAATGAGTTTCACATTATGGCAGATACCGTAAACTCTACATACCAATTTTAGAGACGGTATAAAGCCCCTGGCGAAACCAATACAAAAGCCTTCCGCCAACCCTCAAAACAAAGGCTGACACAGTCGGCTGCAATAGGGCTTGGGGTATAGTGTACTGTTGCTGAACTAAGGAACTGAGAGGGTTCGATACTTGGAGGTTCATGGGATCTAGCCCTACTGTCCATGGACCTCCGAATACCCTTGCGCTTATACTTATACCTTTTGGTACCCTTCTAGAAACCCTATGAAACCCCCAAAGGAGCCCTTCGAGAAACTAATTCCCATGAACTTTCCACTACTACAGAGGCCTTTAGAATTAGAATCGGGCTTTGGGGCCCATTGTACTATACTCATAATAAGGAGCCACCCAAAATAGTATAGTAGGTAATCATGCATTTAAGCCCCTATATTATAGAACCCTACTATAGATCCCTTATAGAACCGTTTAAAGGAACCCTATTAGTAATTCTTTAGGCCTCTTATAGTCACCCATGTAGGACCCTTTAAAAGGAACCCTATAGGTAATTCCTTAGGCACCCTGTTTCTATGTAAGGTAGGGATATCACTATAAAACTATTATGCTTATGTCCTTTTTTGGTCCCTCTCATTAAGTCAGCCCTATATGTATAATTACTTATAACCCCAGTTAAGGTACTTAAAACTGTACATGCTACGTCCCATGAACCTCCAAGTAGGCCCTAAACCCTAAACCCTATAAATCCCTTTAAGGGAACCCTATAGATCCCTTAAGGAACCCTACCGGTAATTCTTTAGGCCCCTTTTTAAAGTGAGCCCGGGGTCTCGCTCGAGTCGCGCCCGCTCCAGGGCCGCCCTCGTCACGGAGGCTGCGAGCGCCTCGAAGCTTTCCCAGAGACTCCAATATCCCTTAATTAAGGAATACTCTTTAAGTTATAGTAGGATCCCTTATATGATTTAAGGAATATTCCTTAGTTAAGGGATATTGGAGTCTCTGGGTTTGGCTCTTGTCTAAGGGTCCCGTTTTGGGGTTTGGGGGGGTTCAGGCGGGGTTTAGGGTTTATTAGGGTTCAGGGTTTAGGGTTTAGGGTTCAGGGTTTAGAGTTTAGGGGGGTTTAGGGTTTGGGGTTTAGGGGGGTTGAGGGGTTCAGGGTTTAGGGTCCCTTTTAGGGTTTAGGGTTCAGGGTTCGGGGGGGTTTTAGGGTTCAGGGGGGTTTAGGGTTTAGGGTTTAAGGTTCAAGGGGGTTTTTAGGGCTTAATGTTTACGGCTTTTAGGGTTCAGGGGGGTTTAGGGTTTTAGGGTTTAGGGTTTAGGGTTTAGGCCAGCTTAAAAACACCAGATGCTTTAAGTTTAGTTTGGGTTGAGCCAGCATGCTAACAGGACTAAAGTATATCAAACCCTGCTCTCCATACGGGGGTTTCAGAAAATAGGGGACCCTAAAATAGTACCCTAAATAGTAGGAGTCTTATTGTAAGGACCCCCAAATAAGGTACCCCTAATTTTCGGAAACTCCCATACTTGTATCTTGGGTGCCAGCCGCCTCAGTTGTCGTCTACATCGTCTACAATCTCGCCATCAGACGGTGTGCTGATATCGCCGATTTTGTCCATGACTTTTCTAATTAGCTCAGCCGCAGTAGGTGCCGGTGAGTGCTCACTGGACGGGGAATAGCTATAGTAATCGTATTGTAGGCTTTTCACCGTACCTTCTTACGGCATGTTGCGGCGATCGTCATCTTCCGCCGCTGCTGCTAGCTGTTGTAACAACTGATCCGCTTGCTTCTACCCCAAACCCCTAAACCCTCAACTCATTATCATACAAGTTTAGGGGCCTAAACGATCATGAAAGTATAGGGGCCCAAATGATTATGAACACTTAGGGTTCCTTATTATAATATTATACAATACAACAGCGTTATGTACCCCAAAGCCCTGTCGTAACTACTAAAGCCCTCTGCAGTATCGGTTGTTTTGGCGGGGCCCTAAAACTCCAAGATCCGTTGATTAAGGAATAAATCTGAACAAAAACTAGTAGGACCCCTAATAAGATTTAAGGCATAATTCCCTAATTCCCTTATAGAACCTTTATAGATCCCCTTAAGAAACCCTTAGGGGCACATCCCTCAATGAAATGGCACTGGAGCCTCTGGGGGGTGAGAAAGGCACTAGCCTCTTCCCTAAACCCTAGAACCCTTATAGGTCCCTCTATAGTAAAAGCCAGAAAGTCGGAATATGGTTATCCTAAACCCTTTATGGTAAATTATAGGGTATCCTACCAAGAAACCATATTCCAACTTTCTGGAGTTCCCTCTAAGGAGGCCCGTTTAAGGGAACCCTGGGAGCGCGAAGGGCTCTTCGGCCTCTTACTTTTGGGGAAAAAGCTTTAGGACTCCTGAGTTCTTAAGCTTCCAGGATCCCAGCCCTCCCGGCTTGGGGTTTAGGGGTTTAGGGGTTTAGGAATCTAGGGGTTTAATGGCTTAGGAATCTAAGGGTTTAGGGGTTTAGGGGTTCAGGGGGTTAGGGGTTTGGAGGTTTGGGGGTTTGGGGTTTCGGGCTTCAGTGGTTTAGGGGTTCCGGGGTTTAGAAGTCTAGGGGTCTAGCTAGCTTTTGATTGCCATGTTTCGATAAGGCCGCTACATAACCCCGCATAAGCCTGCCTCCTAACAAACAAAACTCAAGACGATACCGCACCATAAACCCCAAACCAGCAACAACCCTAGCGTCTCCGGGCATCCAGCTCTCCTGGTGGCCGAGTTTTGAGCCTGGGTCAACATCTGTCAGAATTTAAGGTTGAGGGCTTGGGGTGAGGGATTTAGCACTCCTTGCTTACCAGGTCCCTGAATCATCCAAGTATATAGTATATAGCAAAAAAACATTCAATACATGCAAATGTACAAACTAAAGTGTATCCAGGTACATCCCACCCCAAACCCTGCAGTCGTACGGCAGCGAAACACCCTTAAAACCCAAGCTCTAACCTCAAAGTCCTCAACCCCCAAACCCTAGCCCTTAAAACCTAACCCCATAGAGAACCTGCGCAGGCACCCTTTAAGGAGGCAGGTATGGGACTATAATGACTACACTTATTAAGTCTTGAACAGCAGAGTTATCCGATTTAGAATGTCGAACCTAGAGATGGTTAAAATCCACACAGGATACCTTAAATGTGACAATAATGAAAACTTGAGTCTTGAACAGCAGAGTTATCCGATTTAGAACCCTACTTATTCAGTCCCCGGTCTTTCCATTTTGAGGTGTAGCTTCGGGTGTAGAGGTCGGCTAGGAGGGGCTTAGATCTCCAATTGGGGTGGTGTGAAAACCCCGTGTTCAGTTCCTATACGCTAAATGGCGTTATCGTTTTTTTTTCTTCTTATCGTTTTCCCATGAAAGAAACTCTTACTGAAGTGTAGTACAACTGTAGTATAGGGGACATGGAAACATTCGTATATCGAAGGCAGTGGTTGTGCTTCTTTGGCGTGAAGTAGGTTTAAATATACGGGATATGAAGCTGCAAGCTTAGTCTGGTAGGATTCCGATGGAGACCTTTTCACTCCGCGCTGGAGCTGTGCGTTTCGAATCCGTGCCAAAATGCATTCGCGAGGTTGGTGACGAAGCGGGTTGTGCGTGCTCAAATCGCCGTGAAAAAATCCAACTTGGCCCCATGCTCCTCCCAACCCCGAGTGCGCGGGCCCGAATGCATTTAGAATCCGTGCCGAAATGCATTCGTGATGTTGGTGACGAAGCGGTTCCCAAATCGCCGTGTAACAGCCCAACATACCCCGCACTCCCAAACCCGAGTGCAGGGAGCAAATGCGTTTAGAATCCGTGCCAAAATGCATTCGCGAGGTTGGTGTCGAAGCGGTTGCCCAAAATCGCCGTGTAAACAGCCGACATGCATGCTCCCATGCCCGAGTGCGTGGGCGCAAACGCATTTAGAATCCGTTCCGAAATGCATTCGTTAGGTTGGTGACGAAGCGGTTTGGGATGAGGGTTTGGGGTTAAGGTTTAAGGTTGAAGGTTAAGGGGTAGGGATTCGGGTTTGGGGTTTAGGGTCAGGATTAAGGTTTAAGGTCAAGGGGTAAGGATTCGGGTTTGGGGCTTAAGGTTAAGGTTTAAGGTTAAGGGGTAGGGATTCAGGTTCGGGGTTCAGGTTTAAGGTTTAAGATGGTTTACGGTTAAGGGCCAGGGATTCGGGTTTGGGGTTTAGGGTTAAGGTTTAAGGTTTGAGGTTCAGGGGCAGGGAACCCGAGTGCAGGGAGCAAATGCGTTTAGAATCCGTGCCAAAATGCATTCGCGAGGTTGGTGACGAAGCGGTTTGCGCGTGCTCAAATCGCCGTGAAAAAGTCCAACTTGGCCCCAAGCTCCTCCCAACCCCGAGTGCGCGGGCCCGAATGCATTTAGAATCCGTGCCGAAATGCATTCGTGATGTTGGTGACGAAGCGGTTCCCAAATCGCCGTGTAACAGCCCAACATACCCCGCACTCCCAAACCCGAGTGCAGGGAGCAAATGCGTTTAGAATCCGTGCCAAAATGCATTCGCGAGGTTGGTGTCGAAGCGGTTGTCCAAATCGCCGTGTAAACAGCCGATATGCATGCTCCCATGCCCGAGTGCGTGGGCGCAAATGCATTTAGAATCCGTTCCGAAATGCATTCGTTAGGTTGGTGACGAAGCGGTTTGGGATGAGGGTTTGGGGTTAAGGTTTAAGGTTGAAGGTTAAGGGGTAGGGATTCGGGTTTGGGGTTTAGGGTCAAGGTTTAAGGTTTAAGGTCAAGGGGTAAGGATTCGGGTTTGGGGCTTAAGGTTAAGGTTTAAGGTTAAGGGGTAGGGATTCAGGTTCGGGGTTCAGGTTTAAGGTTTAAGGTTTAAGATGGTTTACGGTTAAGGGCTAGGGATTCGGGTTTGGGGTTTAGGGTTAAGGTTTAAGGTTTGAGGTTCAGGGGCAGGGAACCCGAGTGCAGGGAGCAAATGCGTTTAGAATCCGTGCCAAAATGCATTCGCGAGGTTGGTGACGAAGCGGTTTGCGCGTGCTCAAATCGCCGTGAAAAAGTCCAACTTGGCCCCAAGCTCCTCCCAACCCCGAGTGCGCGGGCCCGAATGCATTTAGAATCCGTGCCGAAATGCATTCGTGATGTTGGTGACGAAGCGGTTCCCAAATCGCCGTGTAACAGCCCAACATACCCCACACTCCCAAACCCGAGTGCAGGGAGCAAATGCGTTTAGAATCCGTGCCAAAATGCATTCGCGAGGTTGGCGGCGAAGCGGTTGCCCAAATCGCCATGTGAACAGCCGACATGCATGCTCCCACGCCCGAGTGCGTGGGCGCAAATGCATTTAGAATCCGTGCCGAAATGCATTCGTTAGGTTGGTGACGAAGCGGTTTGGGATGAGGGTTTGGGGTTAAGGTTTAAGGTTAAGGGGTAGGGATTCGGGTTTGGGGTTTAGGGTTAAGGTTGAAGGTTAAGGGGTAAGGATTCGGGTTTGGGGCTTAAGGTTAAGGTTTAAGGTTAAGGGGTAGGGATTCAGGTTTGGGGTTTAGGGTTAAGGATTAAGATGGTTTAAGGTTAAGGGCCAGGGATTCGGGTTTGGGGTTTAGGGTTAAGGTTTAAGGTTCAGGGGCAGGGAACGCGAGTGCAGGGAGCAAATGCGTTTAGAATCCGTGCCAAAATGCATTCGCGAGGTTGGTGACGAAGCGGTTTGTGCGTGCCCAAACCGCCGTGAAAAAATCCAATTTGGCCCTATGCTCCTCCCAACCCCGAGTGCGCGGGCCGAATGCATGTAGAATCCGTGCCGAAATGCATTCGTGATGTTGGTGACGAAGCGGTTCGTGCGTGCCCAAATCGCCGTGTAAAAGCCCAAGATACCCCGCACTCCCAAACCCGAGTGCAGGGAGCAAATGCGTTTAGAATCCGTGCCAAAATGCATGCGCGAGGTTGGTGACGAAGCGGTTAGTGCGTGTTCAAATCGCAGTGAAAAAGCCCAACGTGGTCCATGCTCCTCCCAACCCGGGCCCGAATGCATTTAGAATCCCTGGCGAAATGCATTCGTGAGGGTTGTGATGAAGCTGCTTGATTTGAGTTGTGGAACTCTGCAGGCGCGGCGAATGCACAACATACAAGCCATCAGCAGCAAATAATGTACAAGACTACTGGCATCATAAACTGACGTTATCGTTTTTTCTTCTTATCGTTTTTCCAGCCAAAACACTATCCTTCCAACAGGCGCCCAGCGAACACAGAACGAAGAGGCGCGGGGTTATTACACAGCCCCAATTGAGAACTACTACTGTTGATGATATAAATCCTAGGGTTCCTTTAAAGGGATCTATAAGGGTACCTGTAAGGGGTTCCTTTTTGGGATCTATAGGGTTTTAGGGTTTAGGGTTATGATATAAATCCTGCATTACCTTAACTTAAGGACCCTAAACTCGGGGAATTATGGTATATTCCTTAGTATGGGTGATGCAGGATTTATACCATCAACCGTGCCACAGGTCGCGGGAGGGAGATACGGCGATTTCTGGTCTTCCGGGGTCTACATCCTTGACTCCTTTCATGCTGCATCCGAAAAGTAAAGCCCTAAGCAGTGTTAGCGATCGCCCAAAAGTCGAAGTCTGTTGTGCACCCAGTGGCCATCGTCACGGCACTTCCTCCGCCACCCAAGGCCTGATCTTGCTTTCAACTTTGGCTTAGAGGGACCCTAAACCCTGAACCTTACACCTTCAACCCTAAATCAAGCATCTGCAGCCCTAAAGCCTAAAAGGGCCCTAAACCTCAAAGCCTAAACACTAAATACCTGAATCCTTCAAAGGGATCAGGGCCAAGGATTTGGGGTTTAGAGCGGGGGGGTTTAGGGCGCTGGGGTTTGCGCTTTGGGTTTCTTGCTGACGATTATCCGCCAAAGGTCTTTTAAGCAGATTGTGGGGTTCAAGATTAGCTGTTTTTGCCTTTGGATTTGAGAGTTAGACTTGCGTTGTGTTCAGTGGCTGGGATTGGAGTTTTAGGATTTTGAATTTTTTGTTCTTATGAGTGTGGGGGCTTTCGGGCTGTAGGGCTTGGGTGCGTGTGCTTTTGAAAGGGTCTCAAAGTTTCGGAATCAGTACGTATTAATGCCGTCCAAGTCCTTTCAATATACTTACTTTGGGCTTGAAGAGGTTCTTGCATGATAGCTTTGGAGCCCACCAATATACCAGAACGGCAACCCTTAGGCTCGAAGGACTCATATTTTAAGTCTTTTGGGCCCAAAGACCATACTGTACAAGGGTTTTGGGCTCTTTTGAGCCTTAGGGTAAGGGCTTACTCTCTCGCTGTCTGCAGCTACCTAAGGTCAGTAAGATGGGTTCTGGGGGCTATGCTGAAGAATGCAGGAACTGCCACACCCAGAGACTCCAATATTCCTTAATTAAGGAGTATTCCTTAAATTATAGTAGGATCCCTAATATGATCTATAAGGAATACTCCTTACTTAAGGGGTATTGGAGTCTCTGGGCACCCTGAGCCGCAAAATGACCATTAATTAGATCCAAAGCCCTACATCCCCAAACCTTGAGCCCGAAACCCTGAACCCTGAACCGGCTTAGGTTCGGCGAACGCTAAGTCGAAAGAGCCTCCAAGCGAAGCCTAAAAACCCCAAAGCCTCAAATCCTTAAACTCTCCAATTATACTATAGGGTCTATAATGGGGTTCCCTTTAAGTGTTTAGGGTTGAGGGTTTACTTGCAGGTTCATGGGACTTAATAACTAACTAGTGTTACAAATAAAGTGCCTATGCCTGTACTCAGTTATAACCCGATGAATATCCAAGTAAGCGCTAAACCTCTAGTACGGGGGTCTGTGTTGATTTTAATGTGGTTTTCGGGTTACAATATACAATAAAAAACGGGTGAATATTCAGGCCCCTATGCTAAGGTAAACCAAGCCTCTTGAACCCGGAAGGCCTGGGATTTGCCGATGCTGCGGCTTTGGCTGCTGGCCACCATGCCTGCCTCAAGTAAGGAACGGTCCAGGTTTTGTAATCACTTGTTTCCTTTCGCTCCCCTTCTTTCTCACTCTCTGTCTCTCTGTCTCTCTGTCTCTCTGTCTCTCTGTCTCTCTGTCTCTCTGTCTCTCTGTCTCTCTGTCTCTCTGTCTCTCTGTCTCTCTCTCTCTCTCTCTCTCTCTCTCTCTCTCTCTCTCTCTCTCTCTCTCTGCTACTCTTCTAAGTTTTCGGTCCAGTTCACACTCAGCCTAGGGGTCCTAGAGCTTGAGGGTTGGGATAGTTTGCTTCGATGAAGGAGAGTAGGTTGCAGTTTCGAGTTGTTTATCTTGGACCAGAGAGGGGGATTTCTACTGATTATTAAGGCGTCCTTTTACTGGGATTGTACCTGATTATGAATATGGTTAGCTGGTTGATATCCCTAGTTGCTTAATCCCCTGAGCCCCTTAAAACTTAAGTACTATAGGGGCCTTAATAATTAGAATAGGCTTTTGGGGCCCATTACACTATAATTATGACAAGAAACCCTCAAAACAGTGTAGGTAATTATTTTAAAGGAACCCCCCAAAATAGTGTAGGTAATTATTTAGGCCCCTTATGTACATCCTGTGGGGCAGCCAGCAGTGGTGTGCTGAGGCGGTTTAGGGGTTTAGGGGTTAGGGTTTAGATGTTCAAGGGTTTAAGCGTTTAGCGGCTTAGGGGTTAAGGGGGTTAGGGTTAGGGTTTAGGGTTTAGGGGTTTCAGAGGGGAAAAGGAGGGACCCTTGATGGGGACCCCTACCCTATAATGGGCTATATAATGGGCTATATAATAGCTATAATAAGGGCATATACCTAGTCGTCCTTATTAAGGGTCCCTCCTTTTCCCCTTTGGGGGTTTAGGGGTTTAGGGTCGAGGGCCCAGCACGCTTTAAAGCTTCAGGATTGTTTAGGGCTTTCGGGTTCAAGCTTGAGGGTTCTAGGGCTCTCCAGAAACAGTTCCAGGGGCCCACACTCGACCATTAACTACAAAAACCTTTTTTGCAGGGCCCCTATGAATTCTATATGAGGGTTTATATGAGTGACGCTAGTTTAAGGTAGGGGCCTTCATAGCGACATGAGCTTAGAGTTTAGAGCACCCTGAATTCCTGAATTTTACACTCATGATCCCGCAAACGTTGCCTGGGCGTCAGCTCCCAGTAAACGTGCATCGGCCCCGTTTCGAGCCCTGCTGCTCGAGACGTAAAGAATGCAGTGTCGTTCTTTCATAAAACCGCGCAGCATGATCAGTAGATTCGGGTTCGGGTTTTTTCTAATATACTATGACAATAAGCGAACAAGTTTCCAGATGTCTTCTTTTAGCCCTTCTATAAACAGAAACGACGGAGCCCCAACAAAAACCCTTCTAAAGCAGGATTCTGACTTATTGAAGCCGCTGCAGTAGGATGTCTTCGGGCCCGCTATGCCTCACAAGAACAGAGCCATGTTCGGCAAAGTCACATTCTGCAACTTTGAAGGCATAGTAGGATCAGGAACGAAAGTTCAGTTCGGTGTAGGAGCCCTGAAGCACTAACTCCGAGCTGCTGAAACCTGCGGACCAGCACCCTCAACCTCAGAACCCCTCAAAACCTTACGAGCCGAAATCGCAAATCCCAACCCCTCTTCAGTTTCGGGCTGAAGGATTGAGACTCCAGAGACTGTGCCTGAGACAACATGACTTTCTCTCGCAACAGTGCTCAAGAGCTCGGGAGCTCTGGGTTGAGGTTGTCGGAGGTTAATGGAGGTTAGGATTTGAATAATTAATTTTCTAAACTAGGGTACTATTTGGGGTCCTTTTCAGGGGCCTCAACCGGGACCCTTTAATTTAGAGAACTGACCCATTGAATCAAGGTCTCCAGGAAGCAAATTTCTTCATCCACTTTTTCTGTTGCGCTTCGTCCCGGAAACGCTCCTCGCGCAGAACCGGGCTCAACGAGTGTCTGGGGCCACAGGCATGCGCCAAGGAACCTCGACCCCAGTCCCCGAACCGATTCGTCGACATCATGAGAGTAATAACGTTTTTTTTTAAGATGCAATGGCCTTTCTCCGCAATGCAGCAGGTAATAAGGGTTTAAGATTCAGAGTAATAAGGAAACTGCCAGTACTGGTGAAACCGTTGTATTAAGCCTAGCTTTGTGGTGGCTTTGAACCCTGAACCCTAAACCTTCGCATGACAACGACAAGTTTTCGAGTAACCCTTGGCCTGAACTTCTGCTGCACCGGAACTAGGGGGTCAAGCTTGAGGGTTACTTCTAAGGTTCCTTTTGAGGCTTTCTTTGTCAGGGCAGCTTTTAAGGTTGCCTTCAAGGCTTCATTTCAAGAGTTGTTTTGAAGGTTCCTTTTAAGAGCTCCTTTAACGGCTTCCTTCTAATGATTGCTCCAGATCTAGGGAACCCTTCCTTTGCCAGGAGTGCTTGGTGGCTTGGTGATTATACACGGTTTAGGGTTTAGGGTTTAGGGTTTAGGGTACCGATACTGCAATAACCAGCGAGGAGATACACCAAGGCTGCATGGCGTTACGTTGCTAACAGTCGGGGCAGTGGTCCGAAAAGAAGAGGCAAGCATGGGAATAGCTGGTTGCAAGAGGAAAATCCGGTCACAATCAATCAATCAATCGATCAATCAATCAATCTGTCATTCAAACAATCCTTCATTCAATCAACGAGCCATTCAATCAAACAATCCATCAATCATTCATTCAGCCAATCATTCAATCAACCAATCAATCAACCAATCAATCAACCAATCCATCAATCAATCAAACAAGCAATTAACCAATCATTCAATCAATCATTCAATCATTCAATCACTCAACCAATCAATCTATCTATCTATGATGATTCAATCAACCAAACATTCAATCAATCAATCAATCAATCAATCAATCAATCAACCAATCAACCAATCAACCAATCAACCAATCAACCAATCAACCAATCAACCAACCAATCACCCAATCAATCAACCAATCAATCCATCAAGCAACCATAATCGAACCGTCAACCATTCATACAATCGACCAGACATACAAACATCCATGAAGCCGCGAATCCATCCGTGAATCCATCCCATCCCATCACATGCTATTCATATATACACGAACGAACATATGTAGGCATGTGAACATGCGGGTATGAGCATATCTGCACACGGAGACATCGCCCTGTTCTTGTACCCGTACTATCAGCACTAAGCTCCACTAAACCAGCTTATCTTGCAGCTAGTGTCACAAGCTCTGCAGGTGTATTATAGGGGCCTTATCAATCAGAACCGGGCTTTGGCTAGCATTCTAGTAACATAAGGATTACGGGAGGATGTTGCTTCAGTTTTTCCTTCCCTCGCCCTAATCCCAGACCGTTCCTACACTCCCTTACAGAGCCCTTATAGATGCTTGTATCGACCCCTACAGAGCCCTTGTAGAACGCTTACAGATCAGATCCCCATAGCCCTAAACCCCATAAAGGTCCCTATCCCAAGAAAAATCAATACTTGTAACGACCCCTACAGAGCCCGTGTAGAACGCTTACAGATCAGATCCCCATAACCCTAAACCCCACAAAGGCCCCTATCTCAGTCTCAAGATAAAGTCTTCTGCTCAGAGCCAGGTCCGGTTCGGCGGGTCTTTAAACGATTTTCTCTGTCTCGAAGCGGCCTGCCTCCCAAAAAAACCCTTTCCTGTAGTGGCCTAAACCATTACCAATATTCTTCTTAGGGTTCCTTATTCTGGTTGTACTATGATGTACCCCCAGAACCGTATTCTAATCATTCAGGCCCATATAGTACCTGTGGCTCCGATGACCTCCTGCTTAAGGCTTAGGGTTTGGGGCTTAGGGTGTTAAAAATTGTTATCTGCCTGTGGCTCCGACTAGGGGCCTTAATAATTTAGAATAGGGCTTCCTTTAAAGGGATCTATAGGGGTCCCTTTAAAGGGTTCCTTAAAAGAGCATCTACAAGGGATCTATAGTCGGGTTCTATGATGCAGGGGCCTTGAAAATTGGAATAGGGTTTCGGGGCGTATTGCACTATAAATACAATCAGGAACCCCGAATTAGTATTGTTAAAAAAAATTTAGGTCTCTATATTAAGTACTGTTTGGGGGTCTTGACTCCAAAGTTGGTTGTCATCGCCGGGTTTGGGGCTGCAAACCCCTCAACCCAAACACCCTAAAGCCTGCAACACTCTGAAACCATAACTAAGCTCACAGGAGGGTCTATCAGGAAACCTAACCTCAAGTCCTGCAAACCGACAGCCGAACCCACCTGGAGATTCCACTTGGGATTAAGAACGCCACTCGAGCTAGATATCCTTCGACTAGTGCTACTAGCATTTCGATCACGGATATTACGACAAATAGCTCTACCCATGTTTTATCATGGCTACGGCATGCTACGACTACTAGGATACCCAGTAACCTAAGAATAAAAAGGCCTCTCTTTTTGGTATTGGGTAACTTTATAAGGAACCTAGGACTACAAAAAGGGAATAAGGGCACTACTGGAGATCCTAGAGTAGTAGAATATTCTGACTAACGGGGTCGGAACATGTTAGCCAGGCCTGCGCTCAGTCGCAGAGCCAAGTATTTCCGTTTCGCTGCCGCTCGCACGCGCTGCGAGAGCGACTGCTTTTTAAATTGCTACGACTATCACGTTCGATGACGATGGTGGTGACCAGTCTTACTACCATGACCTCAGCGTCCATGGTTCCTACCACTGCTTTGACTTTCAGAACTTATTGTAGTTGCTAATACACCTATAAACCTTTTTCGGATCGCTCGAACTACTTACTGCTATACTTCAAAGTCTTCGTTCCTTGTTCAAGCTGTTGCAGCAAGAAAGACAGTGACTCGTGCCACCAGGAATAGTGATGAATGAGCTGATTCTTCCCGTTCCTTACTTCCCAAATCCCCATGGGGGGAAAAGCTCAAACTTTCAGAATGAGACTATCTTATAAGATGCCAAAAGCTGAAAAGTTGGGTTTAAACCATCATGGCTCTTAAACACATTTCACCAAGGCAATAGAACTTTTCCGGAAGGCCTCCTAAAAACTCTGAAAGCAGCTTACAGAACTTCTCAGGCGCCCCTTGAAGTGCGCTAAAACTGTGCGCATTCTGACTGCCATCTTGAATGGACGGAAGTAAGCGGCTGCGATCCGAGATTACTAAACCCCGAAAAGGAACCGTCAGAACCCCATAAACGCCCCATCATTAAAAAATACCTTTTAACGTTTACATTCGCGGTGAGGGCTTGGGCTCTAGGAAACCCGTATGGGAGGCCGGTCTACTAACATCGGAGGCCTCAACAGGTGGGATCAAGGTAGGTAGGATCAAGGATCCCTTATATAAGGACTCTTATTTGGGAGTATCCCACCTACCTTCATCCCACCCTTTGAGGCCTCCGATAACCACACCTTAGGCGTGGCTGTCGCTCACCCAGTCACTCCAGACTGCGACCCCCATGGTCCCAGGCCTCCGCATCGGATTCGGATTAGGGTTTGCGGGTTTAGGGGTTTAGGGTTTAGGGATCTAGGGGTTTAGGGTTTAGGGATCTAGGGGTTTAGGGATCTAGGGGTTTAGGGTTTAGGGATCTAGGGGTTTAGGGATCTAGGGGTTTAGGGTTTAGGGTCTAGGGTTAGTTGAAGGATCACGGAACCTAGGAATTAGGTTATAACTAGTCATGGAACCTCGGGCTTAGGGCTTAGGGGTTTAGGGTTTAGGGGGATATAGCTAGAGCAAGTATCTTATACGTATAACATTTTATGACCCAGCTTAGTGTACACGCAGCTTCACTTACCCAAACTGAAAGACTCCATGTACCTTTATAGTGGATACTTAGGCCTTAAAGGGGTTCCCATATAGGTACTCTAAGACCTAAGTATATACTATATGGGTACATGGAGCCTTAAGGTTACAAAGTCCCATGGCCTTGATGATTGGAAATCGGGTTTTGCGGTAATCAGGAACCCCATGGCATGAAATGGGAGTTTCCGAAAATATAGGGTACCCAATTTGGGGGTCCTTATAATAAGGGTCCTACTATTGAGAGTACTATTTTAGTCCCCTATCTTCGGAACCCCCCGCCATGGAATGAAATGGTATTACTCATCAGTCCGACCCCTGTGCTGGTCATGAGGGCCTTCGGGGAACAGGGTTAAGTAGACCCCGAGCCATCCCTAAACCCTAAACCCTACCTACGCCCTTGTCAAAAAACACTTGTCGGTACCCAACTCAAGCTTGGAATTCAGGTCGTCGATCTGGTCCCTAAAACCCCAAAAAGCCCTCAAACCCTAAACTGTACCCTAATTCCCTAAAAACCCTAAACTTTACCCTGAAAGCCTCAACCCCTAAGCCCTAAACACACACGGCTATTGCCAACGCACTCCTCTTTGTACTTTTCGGCCCTCTCCTCAGCATCCATCAGCTGGGCCTGGAGCTGGACCACCTGCCTACCCAGAGACTCCAATATCCCTTAATTAAGGAACATCTAGGGTTCCTTTAAGGGTTCCTTTAAAGGGATCTATCAGGGATCTATAGGGGAATTCAGGAATGTACCTTAAACTATATATGAGTAAAGGAATATCCCTTAGTTAAGGGGTATTGGAGTCTCTGGCTACACAGCTTTGCCTATCTCTCGCAGCTGCCTTGGGCATCCATCAGCAGGTGCATGACCCGGCTGCTGTTCTGCTTTTCGTCCTCCCACAGCAACTCTGTGTTTCTATGATAAAACCAATCAATATCCCAGAGGAGCAAATCCCTGAAGAAGGTCCCGAAAAGAGTATCTCTAGGTCCCGGGTTGTTATCATTCAGGGGTTTAGGGGTTTATCTTACAAAAAAATACTAAGCACGTATAAAATCTGATACAGCCCTGTGAAGAACCCGTATAGATCCCGTCGAGTACCTCATTCCTCACGGAAAAACGACCCTTCGATAGAAAATCCTAAACCCTCCTGGAAATCTTGCAGAACCCCTCAAAGAACCCCAACCCCCCCTATGTCAGAAACTCCCTAACCTCCGCGAACCCCAAAACCCACCCTATATCAGACACTCTAACCGTAAATTCCTAAACGATCCCAAACCCTAGATATCGGCCTGGATCTGACTGGTTCTCTGCACACTCTCAGCGCTCCCACCTTGGCATTACCCGGGCCGAGCATTTTAATTTTTGGCTTAGGGCTTAGAGGTTTGCGGGTTCAGGGTTTAGTTTGGCTAGGATGGTTTAAGGATGTCAGGGGTAGGCTAGGGGTTCTCGGAATCTTCAGACATGTTTTTCAGGGTTTGCAAGGCTTTTATGCGGCCCGATAGTGGCTCCAAGCACCTGCGGTCTCAAAGCAGGTCTCCGCTTTGGCCACATGCCCTTACTGTAAGGGTTCCTTTTGGGTTCCTATAAGGATTACTATAAGGGATCTATAAGGTACTTTAAAGGGGCTCCATAATGTAGGAACCTGATTAAGAAACCTTGGGCCTTTATTAGGGTTTCTTGTATGACTCCTACTATATCGGTGTAATAGGCCCAGGGTTTCTTAATCAGGTTCCTACATTATTGTCTCATGCTTCGGGCCGTGCCTCGAAACAGCAAAACCGAAACTAGCCTATGAACCCTAAGTCCAGACCTCTACGTTCGACCCTGAAGCCCTCAACCCTGGCACTCCGCGCTTCCCTTTCCCCGATACATCAGGAAACTCCACTTTAAGCTTGCACGCTAGAAACCTGCCCCACTCAGCCAGGTCGACCTCCTGCACGCCTGGGACGGCATTGTCCGAGCCATCGACGACAGGCTGCAGCTTGGGCTCGTCATGCGAGGCTGGCTGGGCTCTTTCGCGTTCTCCTGGTTCTCTGCCGGATCGGCCTCGCTCTTGCGCAAGTCCACCCAAGTCCGTCCTCGCCCAGAATAGGCGATGGGTTCCTGGAAGTACTGGGGGTTGTCCATGACCAAGGCATGAGGCTTCCGGTAGAGTGTCAGCATCGCCGGCTCATCTATGCAGTGTTTGTCCAAAATCCTACGCACACCGAAGCACGAAAACACTTATCCAACCGATTAGAAACCCCTTGTAATGTAAACCCTGATAGCAATCCGCCCCTAGAGTACAGCACGTTTCAAAAAAATGCAAAATGAAAGATCTACATGTCTGGCACGTGTTAAGCGCTAAACCTTAAAGCCCTTACCCCAAACCCTAAACCCACGAAGCCCCAAACCCTACAGATGGATCCCTTAAACCATCTAAGCCCGACTTATCCCTTAACCCCTAAAGCCCTAAACCCTATAGATCCCTTTAAGGGCCCCTTTAAATAAAGGCCCACGAACTCTTGAAACCCCGAACCCTCAAGGCCCTAGGCGCCCTGGCCCTGTGAGGTCATCCTCCGAGTCGCTGCGCGCGACGGGCCTCGGCTTCGTAGAGATCTATAGTTTTTCTACGCTCGAAGCGATTATTTTCGGGATTTAGGCTTTTCACCCGGTCCTGCGGTCTTTGTTTTGTATGTCAGGAAGTCATGCGGCTGTGTTGAAGGATTCAGACGGATCTGTCTGCCTATCTAGCCTTTTAAAGGGACTACGAAAAGAAAGTATGGAGGTCAAGCTGCACGGTTTAAGGGTTTTGTGTAAGAGCGGGAACGCTGCTTTTACAACAGCGCCTGCCTTTTACGGCTCAGTGTTTACTAGCCTGGGATGGGACGCAACTGCAAGAAGTCGCCCACATGCAGAATTATAGGAACGCGGCCAAATGCATACGGGTCCACGCAATGACTCAGCCTGCGACCCAGCATGGAACGAAAGTTCAGCATGTTATGCAAGATAGCAGACAGCATACTGATCTCTTCCAAGATCAACACTCGACAGCTCTGCCACACTGTCTCCAACTTGTGGTACTTGGAGCCGGCGGACATGATACTGTTCGAGAGGTTCTGCACACGCATGCAAGCAGCAGCATGCAGGGTTGTAGCTCGCACAGAGGGCGTCGAAATGTTCTTAGCCTGTGAGTTTTGCAGCCACCACTCGAAAGTCTCCTCGCCATCTTCAGGTGGCCAGATGAACAAAAGAGCAGGAAAGATCAGATCCTGCACCACGCGCCTCTTGCCTGAACCACCTTGTCCTAGCAGGAGCATGTGATACACCCCACGCTTCGAGGTTCTGAAAACCTCAGCTGAACCCCTGAAAAGCCCTAAACCCTAGGATCAGTCCTAAAGCTGCAACCATTGATCTAAGAGTGCATGGGCCTCAGACCCTGACGGGTATGTAGGGGCCCTAAACCCTGAACCGTAACCCCTAAATCCGACATCGTGCCGAACCTCCTACAGTGATCCGCGGCCTAAATTGCAGAAAAGGTCTCCTGAGCCTCAGGAAAGCTCGAGGCTCGGGTGATCTCTGGTGCCGCGTGTCACTGGATTGATGTGAAGCTCACGGTTCATTCAACAACAAAAATCCAATGACAAAGCCTTTTGCAGCACTGGCACAAGGCTTGCTGCTCTCAATCCGTTCGGCAGAAAGTGCGGAAATTGCCAACACAGTGTTTGCTGATGCTTCGAAGCTGACCCTCAACCCTAAACCCCTGAACCCTATAAACGTAAAGATGTGATGTAAATGGTTGAACCCTGACTCACGCCCCTACACCCCTAAACCCGTAAAGAGCTAGAGTCTCAAACGCGAAACACCCAAGCATCATGATCTTTTAAATACCTTTTTAGAGCCCTTGCAGAAGACCCTATACAACCCGCGCAGATCCCTTACGGAGCTCTCTTATAAGCTGCAAAGTCCCATGACCCTTTGAACCCTGAACGGGAACCCTGCCATGAACCGTACGTGCGTACAGACATAAACACACACACACACATGCTAACGATATCAATAACAACTGCTAGCGATACTTCCCTAGGATGCCCAGTAACCTAGGAATAAAAAGGGCTCCCTTTTTGGTATTGAATACCCTTATAAGGAATAGAACTCCAAAAAGGGAATAAGGGTATTACTGGGCATCCTACTTCCGTTAAGGGAACCCTTGAAGCAAGCCCCAGGCTTTCCAGGCGCAGCCCCGACGACCTCAAACGAGCCAGCGTCGTGTGAGTTTGGGTTTAGGGTTTAGGGTTGAGGGTTCAGTGTTTGGGGTTTGTGGTTTCGGGTTTGGGGTTGAGGATTTAAGGTGTAAGGTTTCTCGTCTGAGTGTTTGAAACTACCACGGTCGCGGGCTACCTTGACCGGAGGTATGCGAAATTTAGAAACGGTGGCTCTCACGATGTGCATGACTCTACTGGAAGCTATTTATGAAGCTTCAACCGGGCTGCAGGATTTCGGATTCATCCAAAACAGAGACAAACATACACGCATGCATGCATGCATACACACATACATAATTACATACATACATAACAATTTACATAACTACATTTGCACGTCTCACGCTTACATACTTACGTGCACACATATCTGGGTAGAGCTTGTAGCGTTGCTTCACTATAAGGCGTTTAACATAAGGACCTCCAAAATTCGAGTGGCGTTTTGGAGGTAGATTATAATTACCACAATTCAGATAATCAGACAAGCTTACTGTCAATAAGGCTGCCACTGTCTCGAGCCTCGACGCTGTTCCTAAACCCCAAACCTAAAACTCTAAGCCCACGAACCCTGCTGATGCCCACATAAATCCCGCGAAGGAGCCCCATAAACTTCGACATGTCTAAACATCTTCTTAGAGGCTGATTACACTGGCCCAAAAAAGGCTAACCGCTTGAATTATAGTAGGATTATATAAGCCCCAAAAGGTTAAAGGTTACCTACGCAGCCCTAAGTATTAGAACCTACGCCCTGCTGCTAATGGCTTTCTGCTATAAAGTGCCCTTGGAACCATATGAAAGACATATTTTGAGTGATCCCTTGGATATTTCTCACATTAAAAAACAACTCCCAAGAACACTAAAGCGGTCTTCCGGGGCCGGAGCGACGGGGACCCTAGTACAGGACCCCAAATAGCAGGATCCTTATATGGACACCAGAAAAAGGCACCCCTAAGTTCGCCTTTCAAGGAGCCCTTAGAGTAACCTTGTAGGACCCCTCTACAGGAACCCTAAGGTACCCCTAATTTTCGGAAACTCCTTTCTGGGGCCAAGGCGATGGGGACCGGCTCGCGCGTGGAGGCAGAATAGCCCTGGTACGCAGGCGCGGCTGGCGTGGTGGACACCGGCACTGGAGCCGTCTGCGGTTGCAGCGCTTTGTGCTTAGGGCTCCTTCCAGGGTTCCCTTAGAATTACGGGAATTGAAATTGATTCTTACTCTTAGTTTTAGTCTCGTTGTTATAACCATTATGAGTACAATTAGTGTTATTGCTATTGTTACTATCATGAGGATTCTTCCTGTTTTATTTGGGCTCTATGCGTCTATAAGGGCTAAGGGTGCAGGGCTTCGCATAGGATTCTGGGTCAAGGCGGCCTAGGCTCGGCTCATGGACATATAGGGTTCCTTTAATTTAAGGGGTTCCTGGGTTGCTTTAAAGGTGCTACAGGGTTCCTCTAAAGGGTTTCCTTTAAGGGCTCCTTCAGGGGCTCCTTTTTAGGGGTGCTATAGGGTTCTATATAGTAGTGCTCCCTGGAAGGGTTCCTTTAAGGGCTTGGGGTTTAGGGGTTACTTCAGCAGCACGGGAGGCAGTAGCTTAAAGGGCTCCTTAAAAGGATCTAAATGGTTTTTTCCATGGTTTCAACCAGGGCTCCATAGGGGTACTGAGAGGATCATGGGACTTAGTAACGAGGCTTTATAAGGGGTTCATTGTATGGATACTATAGGGTTCTATGGTAGGGTTAGCTTTCAGGGTTTAGGGTCTGCTAAAAGGATCCTGGGACTTAGTAACTTAAAGTGCTCCTTAAAGCGATCTACAGCAAGGTTGCTATAGGGTTCTACAAGGGTACTATAAGGGCTCTATCAGGGTACTTAGAGGGTCATGGGACTTTGTAAGTAGGGTCTAACGGTTTAAAGGTTCAGGGTTTTAAAGTTTGGTTGGCTAGGGCGTCTAGAAATTTCAGTGTACGGTACAAGGTTCCTTGACGGGTTTTACAAGGGCTTAGGGCTGGGACCTAGTAACGAAAGTTATCATAGGTTCTAGCTCGAATAAAAGCAGCTACTCCTCGAAATACATTCTACCCTTTTGCAACCTGTAAAATTACACCACCCTAATTTAAACCAACCTACCGCCCCGTAATTTTGCGGTTTCGGGCCCGCAGCCGAAAATTAATGAACAATTGTATATAGGGGGCGATGCTTGTGTTATCTTGTTTTAATTGCTTTTAATTCAGCCAAGACTGCAGTAGTACTAAAAAGAAAGGACATTGACTTTAGGGTTTAGGGGTTTAGGGCTAGGGCTTACGGCTTCAGGTTCAGGGCTTTTGGCTTTAGGGCTTTAAGGTTTTAGGGTTTCGGGGCTTACGGTTTACTGTTTCATTGGGGCTTAAGTAAGGTTTAGGGCTTAGGGCGAACGGCTGTCGGGCTCAGGGCTTCAGGTTTAAGGTTTGGGGCTCGAGACCCCATCGCACAACGCAGCCTGAATTACAGAGTTTAGGGTTTGGGGTTCGGGCTCGGGGTTTACCCAGACCCCCTTAGACTTATGGCGAACGTCTTGCGATTCCCCTAAGCATCCAACCGTGCGACGCCTCAACGCTCAAGTCCTTATGCCTGGCGCTCTTGCAACTTAAACTCTTCCATTGAAACCCTTCGCTTCTAATTACATCTTTCACAACTCAAAAAAACTCCGCAACCCCAAAACGCCAAATCTTTGCGGGAACCCTTAAACCCTAAACCCTAAACCCTTAAACCCTAAACCCTAAACCCTAAACCCTACCTTATCCTTATCCTTTTAAAAAAGCTGGGAAGTCTCTGAAGCCCGGAGCTCGCAACCCCGTAACGGACCCTTTAGAACCCCGAGGCCATTCTATTAAAAGGAAAGGTTTAGGGTTTAGGGTTTAGGGTTTAGGGTTTAGGGAAAAACTGCATCCACAAAGCTAGTAGTCAAGTGCCGGAAATCTTATGCAAACCTTTCAAAACCTTGTGTACTCCCTTCGAATCCGATGAAGATCCTGCAGAAGCCTATGAAAATCCACGAGCATACCCTGCACCAGACAGCTGAATGGGCGTTGGGCCCCGAAATGGTGGGTACCCCGACATCGGCCCCCAACCTAACCTAAAATTGCAAGTTTAACAACGAATTTAGCATCCAAAATGCACGCTTCAATTTCAAGGAACAGCTCCAACACGAGGACTGTCTTGAGGCATCTTGAATTTACCTTGTAATTTCGAAAAATTTAACCGGGTTTGGGCTTTAATCGGCCTCCAAGGTATTGAGACTTGGAAGGGCTTTCGATTTTAACCGAGCGGGTGATTAAACCGGTTTTCGGTTAAACAGTCCTTGGATTTTAATCGGTCGCAGGGCGGTTAAATTTAACAGGTTTGGGCTTTAAACGGGCGAGGCGGTTGAATTTAACAGATTCCGGCTTTAACCAGGCGGGGCGGTTAAGTTTAACAGATTTCGACTTCAACTGGGCGGGAGCCAGAGAAGATGATCCCGTCCACGTTCGCAGACGGCTGGCTCATCGGAGAGATCTGCCGGAACAGAGCTGCGTCTTTGTCGCGAGCAGCTCGCCAGCCCCGGATTCGAAGAGGCTGCCTATCACCGAACAGAGCGTGAGTGCCGTGCACGACCAAGTCCAGGCCGAACTTGCCCGCTGAGTGCAGACTCCCTCTGAGGACCCAAGTTTTTGCAGAGACGGTTTAGGGTTTAGGGTTTAGGGTTTAGGGTTTAGGGTTTAGGGAGCTTGCCTGGTCTCGTAGGTGACACGGTACCTCCGAGAGTCCGCATCCACAAAAGCCCATGTCTGCTTCTGTCCAGAGCCGCGAGCAGCTTCCGCAAACGGTTCGGGGGGTGCTGGTAGTGTAGGGGCCTAAATAATTAGAATGGGCTTTTGCGCTCCTTGGTAGTATAAATATATGATAAGAAGCCCTAGCGAATAATATGGGTAATTATTTAGGCGTCTATATTATAGAGCTTGAGGTTCAAGAACCTTCAAACACCTGAATCCCCGCATACCTCTGCAAGCAAAGCCATAGCACGTACCAATCCCAATGAGCAGACCAAAATCCATACCACAAGTTTGGACCGCGAGCCCGAAACCCTGAACTCCTACAGTAGAAGCCAGAAAGTTGGAATATCATTATCGTAACCCCTTTAAGGTAAATTATAGGGGATCCTACCATTAATCCATATTCCAACTTTCTGGAGTTCCCTTTATACGGTTTAAGGTTCAAGGAGAGAAGCCCAAAATCCTACACCCGAAACCCTGAGCTTCTAAAGAAACCACAACGTGACAACCCCTGGGCACATAACCCTCACGAAAAAACAAACTCCTCGACCGGGCTGAGTACCCGGGCGTAAAAGAGGTGGAGTGTCCGAATATGATATGGTTTGTTCGGTTTAGGATTTTGGGTTGAGGGTTTAGGGCAGGTTACATACATCCCGACAGCTGAAAGGCTACCTACTCAGCACCCAAAACCCTCCCCCCTCTCCATAAAGTTACCGAAAGCCCTGGAAGATCCACCTCTAAAACATTCTAGAAGGAACCCGACATTACAGCTGATGGACAAAATCCTGCATGACCCTAAGGACTCTAAACTATGGGAACTATGGTATATTCCTTATAATGAGTAATGCAGGACTCTGTCCATCAGCAGTATCTCACCCTCCACCCCATCCACCTGGCATCCGAAGAACCGCTGCACTTCCAGCAGTTGAGTCATCTCCTGTCTGCGGCCTTTGAGGGGTTCCTTACAGGGTGACATACGGGGTGCTACGGTTGATGATATAAATCCTGCATGACCCAAAGTAAGGAATATACCATAATTCCCATAGTTTACGGTTCTTAAAGTAATGCAGGATTTCTATCATCAGCCGTAGAAGGATCCTGTAGGGTTTAACTACAGCAGGGCCTAGGGTTTGGGGGCTTAAGGGTTCCATAGAATTGGGGGGCTAAGGGGATTAGAGTCTGAGGTTTGGGTGTCTGAGGAGTTTAGTGGGTGTAACCTAAGCTTTTACCTGCATGGTCATAACCGGCATATCCACTTGAAGCTTCAAAACACAAACCCAAGCGAGGTGCAAGGAAATGGCAAAGGTTGCAATTATCCGACCGACAGCAAGAAAACCAGAGCCCTCAGGCCAAGACTTCCACGACTACCTGTTTTCGCTTGGTGAGGACTCAGACTCAGAGACTCAGAGACTGTGAGACTCCGGGACTCTGGTACTGGTGCACTCTGTACTCTGTCGGCTTTGGGACTCTGTGACTGGGACCAGAGCCTGGAAATTCATCCCCCCCTTCAGTCGTCGTAATAGTACTCGCGCAGAAAGTCACCGATCCAATCAGAAACGGTGTCGTGCTGCCAATAGCCGGTGGCAGAGGAGGCCGTGCTGTACTGCTTCGTCTCGTGGTCGTAGTACTCAACTTAAACCCTGGAAAAGAAGCCTCACCTGGCTTGCCCTTGGAGAAGTGTCTAAGCTTCCAGGACTCGATTGAACCATGCAGGGATCTCTAAGCATTGAGGGCTTGATGTAGAAACACTGCTCTAACCAGCCAGGGTTTGGGGTATGTATTAGATTTGGGTCATGAAGGAAGTGTAAGAGGATTGGCCTTTACCTAAGGCCTTGAGGCCTTGAGGTCAGTTTTTTTTGGCGGGTGGATCTTAAGCATCATGCTTTCCGCCCTACTTCAAGAATCCTGAGATATCCTGCGACTTAGTTGCTAGTGTTACGAAGCAGGTAGCCATGCTCATACTTACTTATAGACCCGATTAAAGTCGTTCTAGCTTTACTCACTCAGTCCAAGGAACCTCAAGTTAAACCCAAACCTTAAACCTTCAGACCCCCGCAAGCTCAACTCCTGGGCATGCACCATTGGAACTAAAGTCGAGATATACAGATCTTGCAATCCTTGAATACCTTAAATTCTGAGTAGGATCCCCAATACTAGGATACCCAGTAACCTAAGAATAAACAGGCCTCTCTTTTTGGTATTGGGTAACTTTATAAGGAACCTAGGAATACAAAAAGGGAATAAGGGTACTACTGGGCATCCTAGAATATGGCTTAATTTAAGGTATCCTGCATTATCTTGCTGCATTAAAGCATTTTGGAAGAACTGGCTAGGACCTAGGATCCCGAACGGGGGGTCTTTACAACCGACAAATCCCAGGATCTGTTTTTCGAACCACCCAACAAAGAGGATTCTATACCATCCGGAACGCCGGATATAACAGCCTGATACATCATTAAGTCCCACTTCAAACCTGAAACCCTAAAGCTTATACACCCTAAAGGCTTTGAATGCCTGCCAACCTTGAACTTGTACCCTAAAGGGCCCTAGACCCTTTGGAAACCTGAAATCTCAACCCAGATCTTCCACAATCCCTCAGTTAAACTACATGTAGAAAAATACCAATAAGATTTAAGGTATATGCCTATTGAAGGATTTCGGAGTATCTGGGAACCCTAAACCCTGAAACCTCTAATGTAACCTCTAAACCCTAAACTCCTAAACCCTTATTGATCTCTTTACAGGAGCCCTTATAGACCCCTTAAAGGAACCCTATAGATCCCTTAATTAAAGGGAGCCCAAAACACTAATGTTGAAGGGATTTGGGAAGATCAGGGGGCCCAGGAAACCGGATCTGGGTCAGGAGCACAGCTCCCTGAGGTAGGCATTCAGCGCGTGCTTGCGGTTCTCGATCTTGTCTTGATCTCGGCATGTTTAGGTGTTTTGTTTACAAGAAACTTGGTACGCTTCTCGATTTGTGCTGGGGTTTAGGGTTTTCGGGTTTAGGGTGCTGGGTTTGGGTTTTTCGCGTTTCGGATTTGAGCAGGCTTCGGATTAAAGGCTTTAGGGGGGTTTCGGGTCTAGTGCTGCTTGTCTCATGTCTCATTATCCAGAGGGTCCATCTTTTCTACCATTGTGGAATTAGGTTCCCAAAACCATAACAGGGCTGGTCTTGTGGGACCTGATTCCAGCAAATCCATAATAGTTGTGCCTATGGACCCTCTGTGTTAAACGTATTGAAGAGGCAGAAGGGATGATTTTTCCGCATTCCTCCGATGGAAATACGATCAACCCACCCTTAAAATGGCGCCAAAGAAGCCCTGAACCTCAGAAGCCTGAATTCCTGGAGTTTGGGTTAGGTTCAGGGTATTTAACTCCCGCCCCGGATTGAAAACTTGAAGCCTAAACCCCCAAACCCATCTAGGCCCTTAAACCCTATACCCCTAAACCCCTAAGCCCTTAAACCCTAGTCCCCCAAACCCATCTTATCTTAACCCTAAACCCCTAAACCCTTAACCCGTAAACTCTAAACCCTTAAACCCTAAACCCTGAATCCCCAACAATCTAAACCCCACAATCTTCTCGGCCCAAGGCTGAAATACCTAAATCCCTTCACCCCTAAACCCCTCTTTTAAGAAGGCTTTTTAAGGAACCCTTGTAGTATCACTATGTTAAACCACTCGGCCCAGGGCTGAAATACCTCATCGGCGTCTTGCTGGGCAGCTCCATGGGCAAGTTGGACCTCACGAAAGCACCCAGAGACTCCAATACAAGGGATCTACAGGGTTTAGGGTTTAGGGGACTCCAATATCCCTTAGTTAAGGAATACCTAGGCTTCCTTTGAAGGGATCCTTAAGGGTTCCTTTCAAGGGATCCATAAGGCTAGGGTTTAGGGCACCCTGAGACTCCAATATCCCCGTGCGGGTTCCTATAGGGGATCCTTAAGGGTTCCTTTAAGGGATCTATAGGGTCTAAGGTTTAGGGTTGAAATACAAGAATATTCCTTAAATCAGATCAAAGGTCTTGTACAAGTTTATGTAAGCGCTTTTGGTTCAGAGCCCATTCAAGGGCCACGGCCCCAACCCTGAACCTAAACAATAGCCTTTAACCACATGTGGGTGCGCATGTAGAAGAAGAAGGTTTTGTTTGCATCGTCTTATAAACGGATACTGTTACTAAGCTCTAAGCCCTAATCCGAAACCCTAATTACTCAGATCTCAAAGTTTATACTAGCAACGTGCATCCTCCAAAACCCTAAGCCAAATACCAAAAAGCATTGTTGCTTCGGTTTTGCCCTCTCACATGAAGAACACACCCCCTTTCCCCCCTCCGTCAAAAAAAAGCAGCATGTTGAATGCACGACCCCACATCACCAAACCCCTTGCCCGAACACAAAAACCTTTGAGGACAAATCCTGCCAGCACCTAAAACCCCATAACACTTGTCGAGCATTAAGTCACCCCGAAGCCGAACACCCTAAACCTTCAGCACCAAATTAAACACCGTAGATAAGCGAAACCCAACAACCCGAAACCCAAACCCTGGGCATCAAAATAGCACAAAAGCCTTATATAGTATGGTCTTTGGGCCCCAAGGCCTTAAGATGTGAGTCCTTAGATGCCTAGGGTAAACCCTAAACCCAGGGTTCCGAGCCCAAAACCCTCCTAAACCCTAAACCCTATAAACCCTAAACCTTAAACCTTAAACCCTAGAAACTAGAAACCCTAAACCCAGGGTTCCGAGCCCAAAAACCCTCCTAAACCCTAAACCCTATAAACCCTAAACCTTAAACCCTAGAAACCCTAAACCCAAAACCCAGGGTTCCGAGCCCAAACTGCATCTTCAGGAAGTCGTGCCTTCAGGGGGAGGCTTTTGTAGTTTTTGGGTTTTCTGGATTTGGGGTTCAGAGTTCCCAGAGACTTTACTCCAGGAATATACCGCAAACTCATATTAGGGATCCTACTAGAGACTAAAGTATATTCCTTAATCTACTATAATCTACATAAAGTATAATCCTTAATTATGAAATATTGGAGTCGGGTTCAAGGAAGGCGAAGGACTCCAACGGGTTCGGGATTGAGCTTTCTTTGTTTTGGGTGCTTGGATTTTGCGTAGGATTCTGTATGATGGGAGGCCCCCTATTGTGGGAACCCTAATCCCGACTAAACCCCCACAGGCTAAAACCCCTTTTGAGGCCATGAACTTCCTAAGCCAGCTTTTGGATTTAGCCTTCTCCTCGTTCAACTTTAGGCGCGGCCTTTGTATTTGTTATTGTTGGTAAGGTCCCGCTGTAGGCTTTTAGGGTGAATATTATGGGACTTAGGGCCCAGGGCTGCGGGCGTCAAGATTGAACACAGCGTTTTGCTCGATACTGTCTCGCAAACGGTGAAATTGCACATCGAGCAGGCTCCTGAGAACTTGGTAACCTTAAGCCTAAACTGGGGTTAAGGTTTAGGCTTCAGACTTTTTGGCTTACCTGTATCCCCAAACCCTACAAAATAGCAGGTTATGACCCCTTAATTAGAGGGTCTGACCCTTAAAACGGTATGGGACACAAAAACCATCCCATATAAGGCTTTTGGGCTATGTTGATGCCCAGGGCTTGCTACTCACTGACTCCGACTTTAAGGCTTGTGCCGGTCGACGACTGCAACTCCTCCTCCTGTGACTTTCAGTGACTGCTGCTAAGGGCTTAGGGTTTAGGGTGTTACATTGCCTCTCTCTCTCTCTCTCTCTCTCTCTCTCTCTCTCTCTCTCTCTTTATTGCTGTCAATCTGTGAGTGCCCTCGTATATGTGGGCCGTTCTCTAGAATAGGGTCCCTTTTGGGGTCCTTGGTTTGAAGGTGCCGCACTACAAAAAAGAACCTTAATTTAGGGAACTATCCAGATGTGTTCCATACACCCATAAATTCACAGGCTAATGAATCTGGGCGGACCTATACCTGGTAGGTTCATGGTGCATCCATATTCCTGCGTACAACCACGCAAGGTGAAACAAACGACATTAACATAGCCGCCTGAATGACTAGAATAGGGAGTTGTGCTGGTAATTATTCCGACTCCTATATTGTCTCAATCCAGTTTCGGGGCTGTTGAAAATGCATTGCTCACATTAAAGTTGCCGTACTTACAGGATCATAGGTCTTAGTAGCTTAAAGGGCTCCCTAAAGGGATCTTTATGGGCTTAAAGGATTCCTATAACGGTCTTACAATGGCTTTGTAAGGGTACTTTGGGGATCATGGGGCTTAGTAACTAAGAGTTTAGGGGTTCCTTTTACGCACCTTTTACGGGTACGATGGCACAGAAAACCCTGACTCTAAACTTTTCAAATTCCCTGAACCGGGCCCTTAGCCTTAATCTCTGAACCTCGAGAAATCCTGTAGTATGAATCCTAGGGTCGAATTTGAAGCTTCGCCGCAACCACACAAACCCCGTCTGAGGGCGTGGCAAAGTCACGAAATCCGAGAAGCGCTTTTGCACCTAGAAGGTGGATCTTTTGGGTCAAGGTTGCGATTCTAGGTGACGGTTGGGATGTCAGGGCAACACATGCTTGAAGGGGTTTGCCTGCTTAGCTTGGGGGTCCGGGAAGGTACACGGGATACTAACTAGGGTCATATACATAAACCAAGGGTACGCGTACTTGTTTATAGCCCCAGTCAAGGTGCACATAAATGTTACTCAATCCGATAATCCCACATGGGAGTTTCCGAGAATTAGGGGTACCTTATGATGGGGTCCTTATAACAAGGATCCTACGATTTAGGCTACTATGTTCGGGTCCCCTATGTTCGGAAACTCCCGTATCTGTGTTGCTTTTTACGCCAGGTTTGGGTCCCGAATGAACGGTGCGACTCGAGCCTGGGTTACCTGGGTTTAGGGTGTTATGTTTCTAGATTATTGCGCAAACCCTAAACCCTGAACCATAAACCCCGAACCCTAATTTAAACCCTAAACCCTAAACCCTGAACCATAAACCCTAAACCCTGAACCCTAAACCGCGAACCCTAATTTGAACCCTAAACCTTAACCCTGCCAGAGTGCTTCTGGGCTACCTCGGAGATCTGGGGCTTGGGGCTTAGGAGTTTTTTTAAAGGCTTAGGAGTTTAGGGTTCAAGGCTTTCGTTTGCAGTCGGCAGGGGATCATGTCTTGAGGCGTCGCCATAACCCCCATCGCCTGTCGGCGTGGCCACTTGCATTTCTTTTTACAAGAAAGCAGCTTGAAGATGTACCTTAAACAGAGCTCTCCCTAAACCCTAAACACTAACTAGGATGCCCAGAAAACCAAGGAATAAAAAGGGCTCCCCTTTTGGTATTGGGTAACTTTATCAGGAACCTAGGACTATAAAAAGGGAATAAGGGTACCACTGGGTATCCTAGTCTCCCTAAACCTGAACCCTAAACCCTAAACTCCATGTCCGGAACAACAGGCTCTAGCGTCAAAGCCTCTCCTGATGCAGGGCCTAGATTATTGCAAGGGGGATCTGCGGAGCACTCAAACCTATAATACCGAAACCTGGGGAATAGTATACTAGGATGCCCCGTAACCTAGGAAAAAAAGAGCTCCTTTTTTGGTATTGAATACCCTTGTAATGTAAGGAACCTGGAACTCCAAAAACGGAATAAGGGTATTACTGGGCATCCTAGTTATCGGGGCGAAAGTCTGATCGCAGATGCATGAGGGTGTGGATTTAGGGGTTAAGAGGCTGAGGGCTGAGGTTTCGGGTTTAGGGGTTCGGGTTTGATGAAGGTTATCTGTAACCTAGATAACACAACTTCTTAGCGTTTCATTCTATGTGTTCCTCCAGAGCCTCCAAAACTCCTGGATTCAGGAATCTATCCGGATTACATGGAGATCTAAAATGTGATTCAAAGATATTGAAGGTATATTCAATAATTGACTGGTTGTAAAACCAGGCAGATTTGGGATCTCAAGTTCAGGCACTGCTTGGAGGTTCTTGGGGTTTAGTAACTGAAGTTATAAATAATGTAACTACACTTAAAAGCACTTATAATCCCACTTAACGTACTCACAATTGTACTTACTAAATCTCCTGAACCTCCAAGTAGGGTACTTCTCCAAATTGGGGTCCCCTTTACGTTCTTTTGTAGGGGTGGGGCTTTCTGGTGACTCTAAGCAGAGGTTTTCATTTACAGAAGCGTTCATGGGACTTAGTAACTAGGTTTTCGGGTTCCGTTAAGTTCCTCTTAAGGGTACTAACGGATTCTACAATGGGTTCGCTTTACGGGATCCTTTTTGGGCTTAGGGTTTAAAGTCTGCCTGAAAGTTCATGGGAGTTAATACCTAGGGATACCAATAAGGCAACTATACTTAAAATACATCTTAACCCAAAGCAAGGTACTCATAACTGTACTGACTAAGTCCCATGAACCTTCAAGCGGGTTTGTGTAAAAAAACGTGTAAAAATCCTTATCCCTGAACATCGTTATCGTTCTTTTTCTTCTTATCGTTTTCCATGAAACTAACGTCATCGTTTATCGTTATATGTTCTTCTCATCGTTTTACCATAGAAAATAATCCAAAACCCAACAAGGATGTGCCAACACTAAACCTAAAGGCGCGGGGTTATTATACCATCCCAAGTAGGGTTTAGCGCCACAAAGCCGCCGTCCCTAAATCCTAAACCCTAAGATGAAGGCCTATAGGGCTTAAGGCAGAGCCTCGGGTTCCCAAGATAACTTCCAAAAGCCAAATATACGGCTTAGGGTGTAGGGTTTAGGGTTTAGGGTTTAAGGGTCATCATCCATCCTTCCTTTCTTCATAGATTAATCGAGGTTACGGGCTTTCGATTTTAAATTCTACCTTTCAGGGTTGCGTTTCATCCTACTTGTCGGGTGTCACGGGGAACCAAAGGTTAACCTTTTTGGTTATATAGGGGTTATATAGGGACTATACTACCCACAAAAAGGCTAAAGGTTCCCTACTCTAAACTACAGGTCATGGTCATGGTCTGGCCCCAAACTCGCAGGGCCAACCCCTGATTCTGGAAAACTTGCATCCTTGCTGTATGCGTTTGGAGTTTCCGGGTCAACACTTTGAACTTAGGGTTCGCAGGTCCCCAGGTCTGGGGTAGTGTAGACGTGTGAATAACTACCAATACTTGCATCTACGGCTCCTTGCTGATTAGTTTCAGCTGTATACTTTTATACCCCAAACTTAGCCATGTTCTGGCCCTATGCCCTAAATCTTCATTTTTCAATCAACCCTTTGGAAGGGTTCGGCTCAGAAGACTAATGTAGGAATCTGATTAAGAAACCCTGGGCCCATAACCCCAAAATAGTAGGTTTCATATGAAGAAAGGTTAATACATTATAGAACCATTTATAATGCCGATATAGCGCCCTTATAGTACTCCTTTTCGGAACCCTAAACCCCTACAGAGCCCCTTACATTATTATAGTACCTTTCAGGACCCCTGAAAGAAACCCTAGCTAGATTCCTTAAAGGAACCCTAAACCTCTATTGAGGAGTGAGATGCGCACCATGTGATACTTGCCGTCTTGATGCACTCGGATGTTGTACCTCCCAGCACGAGCAGCTTGATATACAAAGGATTTGCAGTTTAGGGTTGAGGGTCTTAGGGTTTAAAGTTTAGGGCTTAGAGTTTAGAGTTTTGTTGTTTAGGGGATAGCGTTAGACTTTTGCAATACACGCCTGAAAACAAGTAACAGGATACCGTAAAACATGTTCGTCCCCATTTATCTGTATTATATATACATACAGGAAGCCACATATAATACATCCGGATGCCCCCTGTGTGGTGCCCTACATGATATAGGAGATGCGGGTAAATATGACATTCTAATAAGGATTCAATCCAAAAACCATCTGAGTCATCTGAGTATACATATATACATATATATGTACGAAATGAGCGAACAGGTTGTACCGATCTATACATGCACACGCATGTGTGTGTAATGTGTGTGTATATATACACATGTATATATACACTAAGAGGCTGCGGGTTTAGGGTAGAAATTCTGAACCCTCGCTGAAGGTGCTTTGAATTGGAGCTTTCAGAAAATGGAGCCGAAATAGCAGGATCCTTCGTATGCTACACATTGAAGCCTGCAGCAATCTTAATCACAACCCCTACAAAACCGAGCAAAATAAAAAAGGCATGCCAAGAAGCCAGTATGCAAGCCAAAAAAACCTTGCTTGAAGCCCGATTTAGCTCTGTTAATCGAAATCCCGGAGTCCCACAGAGCTAATGTAGGGGCCTAAATAGTTACCCATACTATTTTGGGGTTCCTTTTTACCCGGCACCCGAAATCCCGAACGCGGATTTCATAAAATTGCCCTTCAAACCAAACCCTAAACGTAAGCAATAATTGCGCTGAGCTGCTGCACATGCGTGCTCTGACTCAACAAAGAGATGCGGGCTTTGATGACTCCCAAGCCTTGTGGTTTAGGGCTTGGGGTTTAAAGGGTTTAAGCATAGGTCAGGGTTTGGGTTCAGGGTTTGGCGCAGTTGTGGATTCAGGGTTTGCGAGTTAGCTTGTCCATGCATCCTGAAGAAACTCAACGATGCGTAGCCTTTGGGATTACATGTACCTTAACCCACCAACGCCTTTTTTTGCAGGGTCCCCTATAAAATTCATATTAGGATTCATGAGAAGAACCTGCAAAAAAGTAGGTTATGGCAGTTTAAGGTAGGCTATACTGAACTTAGAACCCTAGCAAAAAATACAGTTTTAGCAATTTCTTAGGAATTCTAATCACCAACAACCAAAAATTATTTCTCTAAGTAACCCTAAGCAGGGATGATAGCAAGGCAAGCAGATTAGGCCTCCTTCGGGGGACTCCCGAGGGTTTAGGGCCTGTAGGATTTCGGAATGGACCACTAACCCTAGGCATCTAAGGACTCAGATATTAAGGCTGACCATATTATATAAGGCTTTTGGGCGAGAGTTTAGGGCCTATAGGATTTCGGAATGGACCACTAAACTCATATATTAAGGCTTTTGAGCCCAAAGACCATATTATATAAGGCTTTTGGGCTATTTTGATGCCCAGGGTAAGTCACCAAATCATACAGCCTGAACTCTAAACCCTAACACCATACTAATTAGTCACCATGTAGCTAAACGTGGTTTCCTGAGTTCAGGGCCGCTAATATACGGGCCTTATAGAATAGGGTTTTGGGGCCCATTACATTATACTCATAATAAGGACCCCCCCCCAAAGTAGTATAGGTACTTATTATGGCCCCTATATCATGGCAACGGAGTTTGGGCTGGCCCTTGGTGAGAAAAGCTCGAAGAAACATTATTTTTTGTCCATGCTCACTAACGTTCGGGTCTTGAACGTGAGCTCCATGACGAGCTTTCGTGATGACGCAAACCTTAAACCCTAACGATCATGTCTGCAAGAGGCGCAGGCTTTTCCAAGAAGCATTTTACTGACTTTTCTCCCGCTGCCAGCGGCAAATTCGGTGCAGCATATCCCCGAGCGGGTCTTCTGCTGGGGCGCTTGCTGCGAACCCTCGTGAAACCTTCCTTAGCACTTGAGGGTTGGGGTCTGTGGTCCTTGGTATCAGTCGGTGCCCGGGGGCAACACCGAAGGCGCCACGACACCATGGCTATCGCCATTTTTGCTTCCGATGAAATGCTCCCATGCTTGTGGCGGCCATTGGACATCCATTGGGACCTGAACACGCCAGCCTAGCCCAGAAGCCCACCACTTCCTAGGGATCCTACTACAGTATAAATGAAGGTATATTCCTTAATAAGGGCTACTGGAGTCTCTGGCGAGAACAGAGGATAGCTCGTAGCTCCGAATCAAAGTTCTCCATGCTTGCGGCCTCTATAGGATCATGGTGGGAGACCGGGCTCCTGTTAAGGAGTCCAGTTTAACTTACCACAATAAGGAAACCATATTATTTACTGCAGATCCCTACTATGGTAACACCCTAAACCCTAAACCCTAAACCCTAAACCCTGAACCCTAAACCCTAAACCCTAAATCCTCTAACCTTTATAGAAACCTGAGAGGAACCCGTAAAAGATCCCTTGAAGGAACCCTAAACTATGGTAACTTGAACTGAACTCCTTAACCCTAAACCCCAAACCTTTCCGAAACCCTTAACTTAACCGTAATCCTAAACTCTAAACCCTATACCTAGACCCCCCAACTACCCTCTAATATACCCCAAATAGCCACTTTTAGGGGCCATAAGGACCCTATTAAAGGGCCCTTGGGGGGTCCTGGTAGATCCCTGAAGGGAGCCCAGGAGAACTGCGACTTGAACGGCTCCGTGCTTACTGCAGCGTGGCCAAACTTAACGTCAGCCCCCAAAGTTTCAAACTGCAAAGGATATTACCTAGGTACGGCCCCCATACAGTAAGAGTCTATAATAGGGCTATCTTTTTCGGTCCTACTTTATCTGTATTATGAACATTATTCAACTACTGCTGAGTGGGGGGCGTACCTAAGGTCTATAAGGGCTACCACAGGGGAGACTATAAGTGTACTTATAAGCGTACTATAGTATTGTATAGGGACATTAATAATTAGAACAGGGTTTTGGGTGTCCATTATACTACGTATATAGTTATAATAAGGAACCCCCGAAATAGTACTGGTAACTATTCAGGCTCCTATCGTAAAACCCTGGATTCTACGTACGGCTGCCAAAAAAGAGTCACAAATGTCTGAACAAGAGCCAGGATGCAGCATCGAGAAGCCAGAAACCGACAAACATGATGTGGCCCAAAAAGCACAGGGAACACCCCAGAAAACTGTACCAGCCACCAGCATTCATGAAGCAGTCCTTGTAGCAATCGGCGTGCGCAGGCGGGCCACAAAGGTCTTCTGTGGCAGCTTGGAAGATGGACCCTAAGGCGGCTAATAGGAGCATACCGGCTGCGGGCCCATTCGCAGTGCCGCCCCGGATCCAAGCAGTTCTCGCCACGCCAGCCCAGATGCAAGCCCAGTAGAGGTCAACGACACCCGCTGCAGACATAGCCACTGTGGTGCTTTGTTGGGAAAACAAGAAGAGACATGTAAGAACCACTGGCAGAAACAAGAATGACATCAGCCATGACGTCAACCAGAGGATGTGCATCCCTTCCCAAACCACTTCCGCCAATCCAGTGGCAAGTGTAAGCCAAAAGAACAGGGAAACCAACACCACGGCCCGGCCACCTAAAGCAAGGGCGAGGCCGTCCCGCCGATTGAAGGCAACATGCGCGACTCCCTCCAGCAGATAACCCACGCCACGAAGTAGACAAGCTGCAATCAAGGCTTTTCGAAGCTTTGGAGAAGCTGATACAGGCGCAAAGCGAAGCACCAACGCCGTGAGCCACATGCCGATACCTCCGTGGGCAAAGTACGAGTATCTCAATGCCCCCCAAAGCGAAACTCTCGAGAATTATCCACATCCCTAGCCCCCAAACCCTAATCCTCAACCCTACACCCTAATCCTGAACCCTAAACCCTAATCCGGAACCCTAAACCCTAATCCTAAACCCTAGATCCTAATCCTGAACCCTAAACCCTAATCCGGAACCCTAAACCCTAATCCTAAACCCTAGATCCTAATCCTGAACCCCAAACCCTAATCCGGAACCCTAAACCCTAAACCGAAGCCTTCAGGCCTAAAGCCACTTCGACTGACCAGCTGCCGACAAGGAGGAAGGCAGCGCAGGTACCTTCATGAGCCTGAGCTTTGAAGTAACCAAGGAGAAAACAGCATAAAAGCTCATATGGGAGTTTCCGAAAATTAGGGGGTACCTTATGTTGGGTCCTAATAATAAGGATCCTACTATTTAGGGTACCATGTTAGGGTCCCCTATTTTCGGGATATGGGAGTTTCCCAAATTTGGGGACCCTAATATAGTACCCTAAATAGTAGGATCCGGATTATAGGGACCCCCAAAATAAGGTACCCCACAATTTTCGGAACTCCCATATGGTAAGGTACCCTATAAGTAACAGGTTTCCCAGAAAGTACCAAAGCATGGCACTCCAAGACCGAGGAGCCGCTGGGTGGAGGTACGGATCTCGGATGACGGTCGATGACCGGTGCAGCCCCACGACGCAATCGGAGTCCATTTGTTCGGGGGAGCAGACGGAAAGCTGAGTGTGGTTTCGAGCCCTCGTGCTTATCACATGTTTCACCTTGAAATAGGGTTCAGAGTTTCGGGTTTGGGGGTTTAGGGTACAGGGGTTTAGGGGTTATGGTTTGGGATTTAGGGCTTAGTACTATCTGTAATCTTCACTTCGCTGTAGGATCTTTGCCGGATTGCTCTCCGAAAACCTAGTGTGAACTCCTTTATCAGTAGTACGATAACACGTAGTAACTCGTAAAGGGACGCTTCTAGTAACCCCTAAAGGACTCCTCGCTATCGTAACTGGGCTTATGGAAGGTATAGCATGGTATAACCATACATACACAGAATTACGTATAACCCCCAAATGAGGTTTCGATAACCCTTCTTGCTAAGTCCCATGATCCTCCAAGTACCCGTATAGTACCCACATAGATCCTTTTGTAGAACCCTAAACCCTAAACCCTAAAACCCTAAACCCTAAACCCTAAAACCCTAAACCCTAAACCCTTTAAAAGGAGCCGTTCTAGTTTCCTAGACCCCGGGACCCAAGATCTCCACACCCCTGCCCTTATAGTCGTCAGTCCATTATGAAGGTAGCCCTTATAGTCTTTAGGGTTTAGGGTTTAGGGACTTATAGTCGTCATTCCCTTCGACCCTCAGCCCTAAATCCTAACCCCTAAACTCCCTAAACCCTACCCTAACCATGAAGGACCTACCTTTTTAAGGACTTATATAAGGAAATAATAATAAGGAGCCCTATAACGGCAGGCCTATCGGGGTTAAGGTAGCCGCTAAATTGCTAGGGTTAGCATAAGCCGGGGAGCTGCAATTCAGCCAAGCCTGGGCCCCAATCCTATAATAGGTAGTATTACTAGGGAGACCCCTTGAAGGGTACCCCTTCTGAACCCTACTTCTGGCTCTCTTAAAAGGGGCCTTATTGAGACGGTCTATGTCCCCAAGGGTCCCCCTAATCCTAACTCCCATATAAGGGGTGCTGTTAAAGGGGTCCTGGTACCGTTAAGAGTTGGGATTCCTTGAGACTACAATATCATTAGCCCTGGCTTAAGGAATATACCTTAAATCCTACTATGATTTTATAAGGTATGTTCCTGAATTGCGGGATTTGGGGCTCTCTGGGAAGGGTTAGGGTTTAGGGTTTTGAGCTAGCTAGGGTTGAAAAGTTGAGGGTTTGGGGTTAAAGGTTTGGGACTCTAGGGTTTACGCTTGAGGGCTTGCGGCGTAGGCACCCGTCCCAAATGAAAACGGCGTTAGAATTCAACCCAAAACCCTGGGCCCTAAACGCCCCAAACAAATTAGAGTTTAGGGAGGGTCTAGACATCCGCACAATGAACACATCACGTATGACCTTGGGCTTGAGATTCATGGAGTCCTTGGAGGTTCATGAAACTTAATACCTTCAGGGGCTCCTTAAAGGGATTTCATGAGGATTCTATAAGGGTAATATTGGACTTAGGAGGTACAGTTGTAAGTTGTACGTTATAAGCACCGTGAAATTGGGTTTATGGGTAACCATGAAATGACAGTTGTTATGTTATACACAACCCCATTACTAAGTCCCATGATCCTTTAAATAAGCCCTTAACCCTAAACCCTTAAAACGAACCGTATTATTATGTAATTCTATACTGTTGATGATATAAATCCTGCATTATGAGTAATGCAGGATTTATATCATCCACCGTAGTACCCTGAAAAGGAATCTCTAGGCCCTGGTTTAAAATGCCCACTGCCGCCCGGATGCCTTTGGCAAACATATTCTCCGGGTCCACTTGCTCCTGCGACTGCTTCTTCGGGCTTCTGGCTTAGGAGGGTTTAGGGTTTGGGATTTTGGCCTTCAAGGTTTAGAATCTAGAAACCTAAACCCTACACCCTTCAGGATTGAGAACCTAGAAGGCTTTTAGGCATGGGTCTTTTAGTCTCAGGGTCTATGGGTCGTTGAGATTCTTAAAGGGCAAACTTTCCGATTTCTACTACACTTTTAGAACCCAAGAAGGTTAAAGGCTAGGTGTTGAGATCTAAGTAAGGGAACATTAAAAATCGGCTGATATGTTTAGTTTTTTGACATATCCCAAGGTTCAGGTTCCAACCCTAAGTCAGTTTTCGGGTTTTAAGCTTTACGTTTTGGGCTTTGGGGTTTAGGCTTTACGTTTTGGGATTTAGGGTCCCTAAACCCCCAACCCTTCTACCTTACCCTTAACCAAACCCTCAGCCTCGAACTATGCCTTGGACTATAGCGAGATACCTATTCGAATTCGAGGTACATTCCTGAAGTTCTATAACGGTTTGGAGTCTTTGAAGTACCTGCATCCCGAAACCCTAGCCCTAAGGCTCAGAATAATTCGCCCAAAAGCCTTATATAGTATGGTCTTTGGGCCCAAAAGCCTTAAAATACGAGTCCTTAGAGCCTAAGGGTAAACCCCTACAAACCGTTCATCCCATGGTCACACGCGCAGACCTCCACGACCTCATAGCGGTCGATCCTCAGACCACTAGGCTTTATAGGGTTTAAGGTTTTAGGGTTTAGGGTTCAGGGCTTAGGGTCAGGGTCAGCGTGGGATTCAAGGGTTCCACGCCGAGGGTTATTAGACTCAAGTGTTTCAGATAGTTTATACATGACTATACATGTGTTAGGGAGATTGCACATTTTCATTTTCTTTTCAAGGCATTGGTTAGTTGTTGAAGGGCCTGAACCACGGTTGAAAAGGTGAAAGGTTCATGGGCTTTGTAAGTACTGCTACAAGCACAGAGCCCTAAACCCTAGTAACACTTCACAACAACCATGTTCAGATGTGCAAACAGCTCAGCTCGACGACCCGAAGCTGGGATGTCTAATTGGCCTCCCGGGGTGGATTTTTTTTTTTTTTTGGGGGGCTCTTTTCCGTCTGCACAAGCGCCCGAAACCCCAAAAGCTGAGGGAGCCTGTGGGCTCAACCCGGGGACTAAAACAGCCGAAGAGTTTATTTGATAACAAACACAGAGAACTCTAGGGTCGGGCGCTCAAAAGAGGAGCACATCTGTGCACAGCTCCTTGCTTGGACTCAGGGTCCACAATCAACCACTTCGAGAACAGTTGTCTTGACAAACTCACTGATGCTTCCGGCTAGACTTTAGGATTCAAATAAACAGCCATCATAACAGTCACAATCAAGCGGAAGTTCAGGCGGGGTGGAGTTTAGGGTTTTGGGTTTACCCTAAACCCTAAGCGTCCCGGGGTCTTCTGTTTATCAGAGAGGCCAGAGTACTAAATCCAGTGTGTATTGCTTTTGTGTTGTTTTGGGGCTTTGTACATCTCTATAGCATAGCAGTGTATAACCCTACAGTACCCAGAAACCCTTTCAAAAACGCATATAGGCCCCTTTAAGGTGCCTTTCAAGTAGTGCTAATAATCCTTCAGGCCCCTTTTTGGTGTGGGATTGTAGGGGTCGGACTACTTAGAACTGGATTCCTTTATCAGGGTTCCGTTAGGGGTAGTTTTGAAGGTTAAGGATGTAGCATGCGGGCCTGAATAGTTAGACCAGAGTTCTGCGGTATGGTTTAGTATAGTTGCAATGCAGGACCCTAAAGAAGAGTATCAGTGCTGATTCCGATCTCTATACTTCTTCGTGAGCTACGAAGGTGTTTTGAAAGATCTAATCGCGAAGCCCGGAACACCTTCCATTGTGAACGCATCCCAAAACACGAAAGCCGAAACGCAAAAATGTCAATTCTAGCAAAATTCAGTTATTCCGACCCCAAACAGAGACACAGCTATGTTAGGGTAAGGAACAAGGAGGAAGGGAAGGGAAACCAACACAGGAGCCCCGACCCCGAACGCAGCACGGACTTCAAGTACGCACCTTTTCATTCTTGAGCCAAAGTCGATGGCGTAATACTCTACATAAATGCCTCCTGAGCGTAAATTCCAATAGCTGAACGATACTTCGGCTTAGGAGCCAACCTTGCTGAAGATGACGAAGCTGCACTTCCAGTCCCCTCTTCTTCCAATGGAACCTCAATAGCCGCTTCCTCACCCTGAGACCACGGCTTCACTTTAGGCAAGCGTAGCTTAGCCCTGTACGTGCCGTCCGGCCTCTTATATGGAACAGAATCAGGATCCTCAAAACGCCCTGATCCCTTTTCCTGGGAAATGACCCACCTCTGCCAGGCTTGTCTCTTCCTCCTCGCGGACTTACCTGCTCTGCTCCCACGGGTAGTAGGTCTCGGCAATTCCTCAGGAGCCCTTGGAAGATTATCGGCCATCGGCTGACCTACAGCCCTGAGTAGAAAAACAGAAAGCACTACGGCTCATAACCAGTTTTTCCGAACCCAAACAGAGACACAGCTATGATAGGGTAAGGAACAAGGAGGAAGGGAAGGGAAACCAACACAGGAGCCCCGACCCCGAACGCAGTACAGACTTCAAGTACGCACCTTCTCATTCTTGAGCCAAAGTCGACGGCGTAATACTCTACCTAATCAGATTCACTTCACAGGAGGATCATCGCGATTCGTCAACTAAATCTGTCCAAACCTTAAACCTTATAAGCCCTTACTAAACCCGAAACCCTAAAACCTAAACCTTCTCAGCCCTAAGCCCCAACATGTCTGAGCGAAAACCTGGAACCGCCTGCCATAGCCATTTGCAAATCCTTGCTTACTATCCCAACAAGCCACAGAAGTAAACTGTTTAAACTTTCCGATTCCTACTAAACCATAAAAGCCCAAAAAGGTCTAAAGGTTGCCCCAAGGGTCCAAAGGACCCAATAATCAGGTACTCGGTTTCAGGATAGTAGTTATGTAGGTTAGGATTTTGGAGAGTATATGCTTATTGGGTACTTGGACCCTTGGGGTTGGGTTTTGGGGATCTAAGCTTGAACCAGGGAGTTCAAAAGTCTTTGGACGCCTTCTGTTTACACAGCCTCGTGATGCTCCTTCTACAGGAGAACATCTGAAATCTCAATGAACATTCTCGCATTCTGTGAAGCACCTTGCAAGTTGCCAGTCAATCAAAATCCAAGCTCTAATTGGGATTATAAGTACATATAAGCGTAGTTACCTTAATTATAACCCTAGCTACTAAGTCCCACGAACCTCTAAGTAGACCCTAAACCCTAAACCCCTTAAGAGGAACCTTATGATAGAACCCTATAGTACCCTTTAAACGAATCCCTAAACCCTGAACCCTATAGATCCCTTTAAGGATCCCTATAGATCCCTTTAAAGGAACCCCTAAGCCCTACCTCAGGTCCCGACTCGGCAGTGAGGCCTTGGCCCCCTCTTGGGAAGGACATGGCTCTGGGGCCCCAAACTCTGCGAGGGAGCTCTAAACAGAAACAGAAGAGGCTTCAAGGGTCTAGGGTATATATATATATATATACATATATATATATATACACATATGTGTGTATATCTATATATATATATATAGATATGTGTACAGGTATGTATATCTCTCTAACTGAAGCTTACGAATGTAGTATCTCAGAACTTACCGTAACATACTACCAAACCGACTCCGACGAGAACGTTAACCTGTATCTAGAGTAGTTCAGACGAGGGCTTCTTTCTTAGAGGCTTAAAGGCTTATATGCATGCCACTATTCTCATCATACCTGCAATGATTCGCCATATTTTCTTGTCTTAAAGGGAACCCCCTTCTATAATATAATGCAACCCTACGGTACCCTAAAGAAGAACGCTAAACCCTGTATATAACCCCAAGGTACCCTTAAGAAGAACCCTAAACCCTAGGTGCGATGTGACGCAGCGTTTCATGTCGAGCTTTGGACGGCAATCTCGAGCATTCGCTTGTAGCTCTGCTCAGCGGTTCAGGGGTGTAGGGCTCGTTTTAGGGGCACCTTGGGGTTCTGTAATAGGGTTCCCTTTAAGGCTTTAGGACTTACGGTCTACTTGGAGGTTCATGGGACTTAGCAGCTTCAAGGGCTCCTGCAGGAGGTTTCATAGGGATTCTTGAAAGGTACTCAAAAGGTGTTTGGAAGTTCATGGGACTTCGCAAGTGAGGTTGAAAGGACCTTTGTAGGGATTCGTGGTATTTGTCAGTACCGATTCCTATCGGCAAGCCTGGTTATACTAAGTCCCAAGATACTTTAAGACTACGTCCCAGGAAACTTTATGAGCTATAAGCCCCTGTAGACCCTAGTTACTAAGTCCCAAGAAAGCTTTATGAGCTATACCTGAAAGGGCTCCCTAGGGGTTTAGGGTTTAGGGTATAGGCTATACCCTAAACCCTAAACCCCTAGCGAGCCCTTCCAGGGATCCTCAAGTTGGCTACAGTCGGCCTGCAAATAACATGGTTAGTTCTCTAAATTCGGGCCCCTTTTTCGATACCCTAAATATTAGGTGCCGTACTATATCAGGGACCCAAAAAGGGACCATAATTTTGACAACCGCCCATATAGGTTCTGGCAAAAAACCGCGGAACTTGTTGCATGAGGGTTTAGCTAAGGCTTGCCTCATCCCATGACTAGGGCCTCTTTGGATCCATCTTCGAAGCTATGTCTTTCAAAAGATACCCATGCTTGTTTAGAACAACTCCTGTAGGCTATAGGCTCACAGGAATCACACGAACTTCCTGGTGGTCGTGATTGAACAGCATTGAGAAGAAGTCCTAACATGAGCCGCCATAATGGTTTATGCGACAGTGTGCTATTATTCAAATCCCCTTGACACTCCTGTAACCCGAACCCTCCACTGCACCTCTTGCAAAACTGAAGGCTACAGGGCTTGCAAGGCTTGGGCTTCAGCCTCACCCCGGCACTCACACCTTAAACACATGGCCGTAGCAGAACCACTCCGACGACCACCACTACCACTACCACTACCACTACCACTGCCACGGCCACGGCCACGGCACGGCCACGGCCACGGCCACGGCCACGGCCACGGCCACTGCCACTACCACTACGACTACTACTACTACTACTACTACCACAACAACTACTACTACTACTACTACTACTACTACTACTACTACTACTACTGCTACTACTACTACTACTACTACTACTGCTCCTACTGCTACTACTGCTACTGCTACTAGTGCTACTACTCCTACTGCTACTACTAGTGCTACTGCTACTGCTACTACTGCTGCTACTACTACGACTACGACTACCGCCACTTCCACTTCTACTGCAAACCTGTTGCTGGGGTCATAGCACGTGAGTTCTTACTTCCTGCAACGGGCTTGTTGTTGCTTTTATCAAGGTAAGGAATACATTGACTCCATGGCGCCAAGTGTATACCTCTACCGTTCAGGCATTCGCACGCATCTTTCTTGGCAGTTGAGCTGCGCAGTCGGGTCGAAAATCTGCACCAGCTGAAAAGTTGGGAGATGTTCTGAGTCAAGGTTCCCTCCAAAGCACCGGTTTAGGGTTTAGGGTTTAGGCCAAGCAAAAGTCTTCAGAAAAGGGAACCTTAAACCGCAGACCCTAAACCCCAAAATCCTAGATCCCACGCCCGACAACCTGAACCTCAAAGCCCTGGTAGACACTGTAGAGTACAGAAGTTACGAAAAACATTTAAGGCAGGGCTTAAGGTTTAGGGAACAAGGGCCCCGTGGAATCACCAACTAGGAACTTGTAAACACCGTCGTGGCACGATGATCTCTTCGTTACAACTGCCATGTCTACAACATGTCCTCCAGCCAAGTCTGCTACCGATTCCTCCAGCGGAACGGAATGGATTGTCGGTGATGTCGGTGCTTCCTTCAACTTCTGAAGACTTGCAGAGATGCGAAGTTACAAAGCAGCAGTGTCTGTACATGAACTTGAGTGTTAACCCGCGAGTCATAACATTGAGCCCTCTTAACTCGGGGGTTCTGAAGTTTTCAAGAAACCTGCAATGAAACCCAATAAACAAAGACCCACAACACACCACACCACGCTCACAAACTACCAAGTGGGGAACCCTGGTCTGGAACACCCCCCTGTCCCAGAGCCGTCCTCAGACTGCTTTCGCGGCGAGGGGCTTCGAAATGTAGAGAGACAGGGTTCCCAGTAGGTTTAGGGTTTAGGGTTTAGGGCTTAGGAGTGTAGGGGTTTGAGGTAAGGTTTAAGGGTTTAAGGCTTTAGGCTTCGGTGTTGTTCCCAGAGACGCATGCTTGTAAACGTGATAGACGACATGCATCCCCACAACCAATGTAAGCTGTTATTGCTGTTTCGCCTTGTGTAGGATCAGGCTCTAGAGGTTTGTTCATACTTGCCATGAGTTTCTGGAAGGGTCTCGCGTTCGGGACTTCGGACACTTCCAGGTTGCAGCCAAACGGCAGTCACACTTGAAGGCAGAAGGCCTTGGTTTTGGGTGGTGTAGCGCCTAAGGTTTGGGGTTTAGCGTTTAAGGCTTATGGTATAGGGCTTAAGGCTTTGTCTGTAGGGTCTATGGTGGGTTCCCAGCAAAGCAACCCTTCGGCAGTATCCCTCTCGGAGCAGTGGCTGAAGCTCAGACGGTCTTCTGGAAGCTTCGCTCCAACCTTAGATGACTGCCACATTGACACACACACACACACACATGCGCGTGTTCACACACACATATACATATATACACATATATATATATAAACTGACAAATATTCATATTTGTATATATGAATATGTGTGTAAACTGTATATGAATATATATCTATATATGTATGTACATGTATACACATGCATACTTTTTTTGTGGTTATCCGCTTATCCGTTGATGACATTGTATGCTTCAGCACATACAACATACATGTGCTTTACAGCACGAGATGAACAAATGCAGTCATAGATAAACAAATAGACGAAGACACTGGTAACTCATCAAACACTGAGCAAATGCAGTAGTGAAAGACGTGAATATGTATCTACAGTACATAGGTTAGAAAGAGAGAGAGAGAGAGAGAGAGAGAGAGAGAGAGAGAGAGAGAGAGCGAGAGAGAGAGAGAGAGATAAAGCGAGGAAACCATGTAGGTGTGTTGCAGGTTGGCATGGTAGCCAACCAGAACAGAGGCTTCCACGCATAGGAACAAGGTTTTGGGGGGCTGACACATATCAGAGACCTACTCTGACCCGGGTTTAGAGTTTCTATACCGAACTTAGAACTCTAGCACAATTTATAATTTTAGCTGTTTCTTAGGGATTAGAATAACCAAAAAATAACAAATATTTCTAAGTACTCCTAAGGTTTGGGGTTTAGCCTCAGGGCTCAGGCCCTATGATGGACCACAGGGGGGCAGCTTTGTGCCTGCCAGACCTCAAATCCATTCCTGGGTGGTTGTCGAAATTGTGGTCCCTTTTTGGGCACCCTAAATATTAGGTGCCGTATTATAATAAGGACCCCAAAAGAGACCCTAATTTTGGCAACCATCCTCCTAAACGTGTCCGTATATCCTGGCAAGAGTCGTGCTGCAAGAACCCCTATGCACTTCTGTATTGAACCTTGGGTTTTAAGTAGTATACCCGTAGTCCCCTGTGATTTCCCCTCGCTTGCATCAGCCATTTAACAAAAGCCTCGTTGGATCCGAAAATCTGTCGTGAACAACAGTAGAAACATTGAAGAACCTGTTCGTAAAGCAAAACAGAAACCATACATCCCAAAACTCCTAACCCCCACAAACGGCACAATAGCATGTCGTAACTCAGACCTGCTTGGAGGAACATGGGAAATAGCAAGTACTTAATTGGGGTTTTAATTGAAACTAAGCAAGGTTACCTTATTTATAACCCCAGTTACCTCGCTCCATGAACCTTTCAGTAGCCCAGTCTAAACTCAAAACACTTAAAAGAACCGTTAAGAGGAACCCGAACGTGGAACCCTATAGTAAACCCGAAACCCTGCTAAGAAACTCTTGGGAACGTTTGAAGCTTTAGGAAAACTTTTAAAAGCGCTGGTCAAGCTACGGTTTAGGGTATTGGGGTTTAGGCTTAAGGTTTCGGGGTTTAGGCTTAGCCGTTAGGGATTCACGGAAGCTCAACCAAGACCTGACAAAGCTCACTGCAGAAATTAGTTGAAACCCTGAAGACTCCATTCGTAGCCGTGGCCCTTAACCCTAAACCCTCTTAGCCCTACTGCAAGCCCTGGACCCCCTGAACCCTCATACATCGAAAACACGCTGGGAAACAGTCTCCGCAAGCCCACAATCCTGAGGCCCGAAACCCTAGGCAATATAGAAGCCTTGAGGATTAGGATAGTGTATGGGGTAGATGGTGCCATAACTATAGTGAGGAAGCCTCTGGAGTATGACTAATCGTCCAGGCTCCTACATCTCACTGCAAGCCCCTGTAAAATACCGGAAGAAAACACT